AAGCGACCTGGAGGAGGAGGTCGCGAAGCTGAAGCAGAGCTTGGAGTCCGTCGAAGCGGAAAGAACACAAGCGTTCGAAGCGGCGAACAGGTATCTGAACTAAAAGGATGCCGCTTTACGAACTGTGGATTTCCAAAAGACGGAACTCGACCGATGTGCGGAGGAAGTTAAAGAACTTCAAAGGACAATCGCCAGGCTCTCCAAGGAGGTCGAAGAAAAGGACCAGGAGATCCGGGCGACCTTCGAACGGGCTCAGCGAGCTGAACAAGACAGTGAGGCCTCCGAACAAGAAAGGCGAGCTCTTGAGGCTGAACTCCAGGAGAGTCGGGAGAAAATCGCTTCCCTGACTGAAGAAATGCAGAATCAGTCAGAGGAGCTGGAAGAAAAGGCCGCAGACTGGGCAATCGGGTCTATTTACTCCCTGCGAGCAAAAAACCCAGATCTGGACATGTCCGACCTCCCGGAGAGTTGGCAAGCGACTTTGCGGATCATGGCCGAGGAGGATGATTAGGAAGCCGCGGCCGTCCAACGACCCGACCAGGCAGGGGGTTCTGGATCAAAGGATCCCCCCGACTAGCCTTAGCGTAATGAGTTGTCCCCATTGTAATCGGGTCTTTTGACTTTTTTGTTTGTACATGAATGAAGGCTATCTTTACAATTGTAGTTCGCTTTTTCATATATATATGTACAATTTAGAATTGTGATTTACATAAGCAATTGCCTACAAATTCTTACATGCAAACAGGACACATGCGAACTATTTTGAGCGAACAAAGTAATACTTGAAAGAAATTAACAAAAACTGAGAGCTAAGTTCGGGATTACTGATAGTATGGCCGGAGGTGCTCGGCATTCATCAGTGTGATGCTTGTTATCCCGATGGTAACGGCAGTATTTTTTGCTGTTTCTGGTCATAGCAGGAGTTTTCATGGGTTCTAGCTCACTGAGCAGGCTGGCTTCCTCGGATTTGTCGAGGATCGCAGATATGGACACATTCAGCTGAGTGTATTGGGTCCTGTCGCAGTCGCGACGGGGGACAGGAGCATAAGACTTTTTCTGCTCGTAGCGGAGTTTCTTCCCTTTTCGCTGATCGTCAATGTCTCCCTTGCGATCAGCTCGCCTATTGTCTCCCCGACCTGACATACTGCTGGAAGTGCCGTGATCGCGACGGCGGAGTGCCGCCAATGAATTCTCTATTCGGAGATACTTTTCTGCCAGGTTGTAGAATCTAGTGAGGGAAATATCGTCCTCAGCCTGCAGTTCTTTCCATAGGTCGGTTTGCGGGCGAACTCCAGCTATTATAAGAGTTCGGATGGACTCTTCTGGGGCATAAGCCACCTTGTTGAGTTCCCTGTGGAAGCGGTCAATGTAAGACTGCATGGATTCGTCTCTTTCTTGCCTTATGTTGCTGAGGTAGCTCAAAGGCATCGAGAATTTCCAATTGGCTTGGAAATGCGGCAGGAACGTCGCGCTCATTTGAGGCCACGAACTGATCGATCCCGTCGGGAGCGACCTTAACCACCGTTTGGCGTGAAAAGTCAACGTCACGGCCAAACAACGACATTTCGCAAGGTCCGGAACCTGGTAGAGCTCCATCAGGTCGTTGAACTCATATAAATGATCCTGCGGATCATAGTTCCCATCAAACGGCCGTATATCTGGCATTCTGAACCCTGGTGGAAGGGGAGCAGCTAGCACTTCGGGAGAGAAAGGGGATGTAGAGGCGACCTGCGCCTGTTCGTTTTGCTGCTCCCGTAACCTGTCCAGAGCTCGCTGCAGCTCTTCTATTTGTGGTAACGGAGCCAATTGGGGATTGCTTTCACCCGTGCGAGTCGGGCCTTCTCGATTGCGGTTCAGGAAGGTCCGGAGGTCGGATTACTCCTCGCCTCGACCGGCATTTCCGGTCGCACTCGACACACGCTGACTAGAGGCGTGTGAAGGTGGTGGATTGTGCGGGGTATTTTCACGACCCTCGCGATGGTACGAACCGCCCCGCGAGGTGTGGGAGCCACCCTCTTGAGAACGATCGGGGTCGTTCTGCTGGTGGTGATAAGAATCATCGCGTCCACTATTCTCGCTTGGGTTTGCCTGCGACGTGGCATGGGACAGCTCGGGATCCATTCTTTCGCCGAGTCTCAGCTTTGCCGATACCCTGCTCGGGGCACCTGTTGCGTTCGCTGGTCCTTGGGAGCCCGTAGGCTTACTTTTTGCCACTTGCTTACCCTTGCGCCTACGCGCTGCAGTGCTCGCGGCACGGGCTATTGCCCTTTGCCGTGCTTTCGCGCGACCTGTAGGCGTCTTTGGCGGTTGCACCGCCCTAGCTGTGTTAGATGACATGCCTTGGTCCAAACGGTCAAACCTTTGGTTGACCGTCTGGAGAGTATTGTCGAACCTCTCCAGGTAGTTTCTGATGGCAGGGTCGAGTTGTGGAGCTGCCGGGACATCCCCCGCAGCATTTTGTGAAACTGGAACTTCTTCAGTACGCTGATTAGCTTGCCCTGGCTCAGATTGGCGGGCCATCTGCTGTTGTAGGACCAGTAGGTCAAAGATTCTCCTGATGAAGGGTAGACACTAAATCAGGCCCTCCTTCTAGCGCCAAACTGTTGATGCTAGTTTTTTTGACACCAACCAATTGTCACGTGCGTATTGCTGATTGGTGGATTAACACACGTGATAATGAATATACCAAATGAACTAAATGCAGAGAAAGCTTTTAAAGTGGTTCGGATGCTATGGTAGTAAGTCCTACGTCCACTAATTTGTATTGATATTAGTGTGGGTCAGGTCGCAAAGCGGACTGACTTACAGAGGAATTATGAAAAGTAAATGTGTTTACAAGAGAGAGAGAGTCTTTGTAAAAATGGCCGAATCCCTTTAATGAAGGGGTCTTCCTCATTTTATATCAAGCTGAAGCGTGTAATTATCATTAAATTCGTGGGTTGGTGTGATTGTCAGGATATAATCCGGCTTTATGTCCCATTGCTCTCTTCCCAAGCTGATTTAGCATGATTTATTGCAGGGGAAAGGGACGCGTGTGAGCTCCATATCATGTAGCAGGTCTGACGTGTGCGTGTTGCTCTGACGGGAGCAGGTCACTCTTCACGTGACTTTCCCACGTCAACCCTTATTTCCCTAGGCATAACAGAAATTATTAAAAGTACTAAAAAAATGTCTTTTCGAAAAATAAGGTATTCCAAAGATTTATTTTTTTATTTCTCTGATACAGAGCATTTCTTGGCGCTGGCCACGAGAACTTACTAATGAATTCTCATGAAGCTATAAATTTCCTATTATTACTGCTTCCTTGGAATGTTCAATAAAAGAAACTAGAATGGCATTCAGCAGCTGCATTCCAGGGCTCTAGTTAACCCTTTTACTAACAATAGTGTTCACAGCCGCAACCAAAGTTCTGGCAATCATTGTGTTTGGAGAATATATTGTTGACACAGGAAACAACAATGGGATATCAACAGTTATTAAGAGCAATTTCCCACCTTACGGTCGAGACATTATGGTGGACGCCCCACAGGGAGCTTCTGCATGGCTGTCTCGCTCCTGATTTCATCTCTGAGGCTTTTAGACTCAAGCCGTACCAGGTTACCAACTTAGATCGAGGGACCAGGGTATACCTTATGTCACATATCCCACATCGGAAGGGAGGGAGGTCTTGGGTTTATAAGGGGGAGTTCTTCTACCTAATAGGTTAGCCTTTTAGGTGTAAAACTTTCAACCTCGTGACAAGTGATATTAGAGCAAACGTTATTCGTCTTTTAGTGTCCCACCAAGCGCCCACGCAGCAAGGCATTCACATGTGATTGTGGGTTCACTCAAGGGTGAGGTGGACCGGTAGGCAAAGGGTCTCACCTGTAATAGGAGCGTCACAGGATTTGGTGGAGGAGAATGTCACATATCCTACATCAAAAGGGAAATGGGGGGTCTTGGGTTTATAAGGGGAGTTCCTCCGTCTAATAGTTTAGCCGTCTGGGTGTGAAACTCCAACCCACGACACATAGCAGATTTTGCCACCGGAGTGAGTTTAACCTCTGTCGGAACTGGCTACGACAATAATAATGCCGCTGTGCTAGTAAGTCCCTGCAACAAAAATGCACTTGCCTGTGCATAAGACAACAGTTCATCTTTATTACCCGCATTGATGTTGAGAAATCATGGTAATTTAAGTGTAATATATAACATATGTACGATTTTTAACGGCTAATAGATATGGTAAGAAGCCGAGACAAGATTGTAGATTGATCTTAATTGAAATTGTAGGGTTCAACGTTAAATTTTAAGTCTTAATGGTCAGAAAATATTGATACAGTACTTTCTGTTATAGTGTTTTGCTTGTTAAAAGATATGCTGAAACGATTGTCACCTTACAAATATTTAAAATCAATTGGGCAGAACGCGCTACCGCTGTGGAGGAAGTGGAGCTTTGCAAGGTATACACGTATACCAAAACAGGTTGAGAGAACAGACGTTAGTTTTAATTAAGCAAACGAAATACTTAGCGAGGCTTTGTACATGTTGAGCTTAGGAACCAACCATCTCCTTGAAAATTATTACGTATTCCCCCAATTCCAAATAAGAAAATAAATAATTATAATTTTACTTCAGCGAACGTTATTTACTTGATCTCTATTGATGCCAACAAAATAGAAGTTGGTGGGTTATTAGTATCTTATTAACTTAAAATCAAGATTACTTTTTGAAATTGATCCAATTGAAATATTGTTAGTTTAATTCTTGTAAGAGTTTGAAAAAGAAATGAGAGGTTTTTCAAAGTGCCTATTTATGGCAAATACTATTTTTATAGTCCACTGATACAGGACATTCCTTGGCCCAGCGCACACTTCATCTAAGCCACAACTGAAATGTCATTAATTGAACTTATGAATTTCTTTGAAGCTAAAGAAATGATTTCAGTCACCAGCTCATTCATTTCCATATTGATATTGCAATCTTGGAATGTTGACCAAGCATTAAGACAGAAAACTAGAATGGGAAACAGCAGCTACAGAATTCCAGGGCCTTGTTTAACCATTTTACTAACATTAGTGTGTACAGGCACCGCCAGAGCCAAAGTTCCTGCACTCATTATTTTCGGAGATTCAACTGTTGACACTGGAAACAACAACTTCCGTCCAACACTTCTAAAGAGCAATTTCGCACCCTATGGTCGTGATTTTGAAGGTGGACGTGCCACAGGGCGCTTCTGCAATGGCCGCCTTCCTCCTGATTTCGTCTCTGAATCTTTTGGACTCAAGCCAACAGTACCTGCCTACTTAGATCCAGCGTATAATATCACAGATTTTGCCACCGGAGTTACTTTTGCTTCTGCTGGAAGTGGCTATGACAATGCAACAGCCATGGCTTCAGTGAGTTCCCGCAACAACAATGCACTTTGCCTATATGCATGACATGACCATGAAATTTCATCGTACCTCACTCTAATCTCAATTATTCAAAATGTGTTGATTCAATAACTTAAAAAATGGAGATATAATTTATGTCAGAAAAAGATGTTCTTGAAGCTGCTTCATTTTTTTATTAAAAAAAAATATTTTCAAATATATGCTGAATGGACTGTTGTCCTGATGCAGTGATTGTATATAATTTGTACTAGATTTGAAGTATCACAGTATGCGTAATTGTTTTTAATTAATCAACATGGCAGAATGTTATACCGCTGTGGAAGGAAGTGGAGATGTACAAGGATTACCAAGGAAAATTGAGAGCCCATTTTGGTGAAGAGAAAGCAAAAGAAATTATTAGCAACTCTCTGTATATGTTGAGCTTAGGAACCAACGATTTCATGTTAAATTTCTACGTATTCCCTTACAGAAGAACCCAATTCACAGTTAAACAATACGAGGTTTTTATCATTGCAGCTGCTGAAAAATTCATCCGGCAATTATATAGTCTTGGCGCGCGGAAACTATCGGTGAGTGCACTTCCTCCAATGGGGTGTTTGCCATTTGAAAGGTTCTTAAATATAAATGGCCGTCATGATTGTGTGACCCTCTACAACAAAGTGGCCATGGAATTTAATGTGAAGATGCACAATTTAATGGTAAAGTTGAACAAGAAGCTTACTGGAATCAAAATTTTAGAGTCAAGTATTTACGACGTTTTATACCAGATGATTACAAAGCCCTCTTCATTCGGTTAGTTCACTTTCCATATATACACTCATAGATTTATTTTCTTTACTTCGGCATATATTCATAAGTGACTTATAAAACTTTTAACATGATAATGAGTAATGCTACATGCTAATAAACGAGAGAAAAGGAAATAGAGCTGAATTTGGGAAAGTGAGAATCTGCTCTTTACTGAATGTTACTGTTCATTTATATACAGCAGTAACTTCAGTCAACTAAAGTTACTTATTGACTGAAGAATAAAAGTAAATTACATGAACACCCTTTACATCTAATCCCCCCCCTCAAGTTGGAGGGTGGTAAAGATCTAGCACACCTAACTTGTGCAACATGTGATGATGAAGAGTCTTGCCAAGGGCTTTAGTAAGAATATCAACAGGCTGCTCACATGAAGAAATATGGGTAGTAGTGATCAAACCATTCTTCATTTGCTCTCGCACAATATGACAGTGAATGTCAATATGTTTAGTCCTCTCATGGAACATAGGATTGGAAGCTATGTGGTTGGCAGCCTAGTTGTCACAGTGAAGAGAAACAGGAAGTTGAGCATCGAAACCAAGTTCCTTGAGCAATTGAACTAACCAAATAACCTTACATGCAGTAGAGGTCATAGCTCTATATTCAGCCTCAGAGGAAGACTTGGAAACAGTAGCTTGGCGCTTGGATTTCCAGGAAATCAGAGAAGAGCCAAGAAAAATACAGAAGCCAGTGATGGACTTCCTTGTCATTAAGCAAGAACCCCAATCAGAGTCACTATAGGCAGATAAGGACAGAGTATTATAAGCAGGAAAAAATAAACCAAGTCCAGGGGCTGACTTCAAATATCTGACCACTTTGAGAGCTACTGCCATATGTGACTGCTTAGGCTGGTGCATAAATTGACTCAATAAACTGACTAAGTAACTGAGGTCTGGCCTGGTCATACATAGATAGAGCAGTTTACCAACTAAACGTTGATAAATTTTTGGATCAGGAAGTAACATATCAGTCTTAGTGTTGGTAGAAGTAAACTGATGATCAAATGCTGTTGTAGTAAGCTTCAAATTGGACTCCATGGGAACCAAAGATGGCTTAGAACCTGAAAGACCTGATTCTGAGATCAATTCCAATGCATACTTGCGTTGGCAGATGCTAATTCCCTTGGAGGACCTGGCCACTTCAAAGCCTAGAAAATACCGCAATACACCTAAATCCTTTAGCTTGAAATTGTGGTGTATTAGCTGTTTAGTTTGGCAGATTAAAGCTGGATCATCACCTGTTATCACAATGTCATCTACATATACAAGAATCATGACAATGTGAGATTCACTTCTTTTGATAAACAATGAATAATCTGACCGAGACTGCTGGAAACCACCATTTAGAAAAGCTGTAGTCAGCTTATGATTCCAGGCTCTAGAAGCCTGTTTCAATCCATATAAGGATTTATGGAGCTTGCATACCAGATTCTTGCCTCTTTTCCTTGGAAAACCTTGGGGCAATGTCATGTAAATTTCCTCTTGCAAGTCTCCTTGCAAGAAAGCATTGTCCACATCAAGTTGATAAAGAGGCCAATTGTTCATGGAGGCTAAAGCCAAAATTGTTCTAACAGTAACCATCTTTACAACTGGAGAGAAAGTCTCTTCATAATCAATCCCGGCCTGTTGTGTATATCCCTTAGCAACCAAGCATGCCTTGTATCTGTCTAGGGTACCATCAGCCTTATACTTAAGTTTATAAACCCACTTACAACCAATGTGAGCCTTACCAAGGGACAGAGGTACTAAGGACCAGGTTTGATTGCTTTCTAATGCCTGAATTTCTTGCTGCATAGTATGGACCCAATTCTGATCTTTAGAAGCTTGTGTAAATGTAGTGGGTTCAACTAAGGAGAGATTGGACAGGAATGCTTTATAGGAAGGGGATACATTAGCATAGGAAACAAAATTGATAATGGGATAGTGTGAAGTATTGGCTGTAGGCTTATGATGTAGTGTAGGACAAACAAAATCTTGTGTCCAAATAGGAGGATTAGTATGTCTATTGGATCTTCTAAGAGCTAGAGGTGAAACAGGAGTAATACTAGGCATAGAAGGAGTGGAATGATCAGGAACAAAATTATGAGAAACAGTCAAATCTGTAGTCTGGATAACAGGAGAATCAACAGTAAAATGAGGAGTTGGAATTGACTCTAAAACAAGGAATTTTGAATCAATAGGAAAAGGATTCAAGGAAAAAGTTGACAAGGCAAAAGGAAAGACATTTTCATGGAAAATGACATCCCTGGTGACAAAAATAGAATGGGTAGATAAATTGTGTAAAATATAGCCATTTTGGGTAAGAGAATAACCCAAGAAAACAGAAGGAGCAGCTCTAGGATGCAATTTGTCCTTAGAACGTAAGATTGTAGCATAGGCCAAACATCCAAAGACCTTTAAATGATTCAAGAAAGGTGGTTTGTCAAAAAATTTCTCAAAAGGTGATTGACCCTTAAGGACTACAATAGGCAGTCTATTAATGATGTAGACTGCAGTTTGTACACAATACCCCCAGAAATGAGTGGAAATATTGGACTGAAGTTTTAAAGCCCTAGCAACCTCTAAGATGTGCATGTGCTTTCTCTCAACAATACCATTTTGTTGAGGAGAATAAGCACATGAACTTTGATGAATGATACCCTGACTACTTTGGAGCTCTCATGACAATCTTTGTTAAAAAACTCTAAACCATTATCAGTCCTAATGCACTTAGGAGTCAAACTATATTGTGTATGGACCATACGAAGAAAGTGTTTAATGGTAGAGTAAGTGTCTGACTTGAATTGCATAAGAAACAACCAAGTAACCCTAGAAAAATCATCTACCATAGTGAGAAAGTATCTAGCATTCCCATGTGTAGGTGTTTTATAAGGACCCCATACATCCATATGTAGTAAATCAAAATTTTTTTGTGTTTGAGATGTACTATTAGGAAAGGGTAACCTGGTTTGTTTAGCTAGACGACAAACAGGACAATGCATAGAGTTTAAACTACTTTGAGCACTTGACAAACTGGGATGAACAAAAGGCAAAATAGAATAAGAGGCATTTCCTAATCTTTGATGTCATAATGCATAATCATGAGATGAAGATAATGACAACATGGAAATAGGCATTTTATTTAAATTCATCTCAAAAGGTACAATCTGAGATGATTCTACAGTATGGCAAACAGCCTTATTTAACTTTCCTAAATCTGATACAAAAGTGGAAATTTTCAAATTTGGATTAAAGAAATAAAGACCTTGTCTATGCTTACCAATCCCCTTCAATTTGCCATTGCAAAGATCCTGAATGAGACAAAAATCAGGATAAAAGATAACAAAACAGTTATTAGAAGCAGTAAGTTTGGAGACTAAAAGTAAATTGTGATGGAAATCTGGAACATGCAGGACATTTGGTAGATGTAAGTTTTTATCCATAACTACAGACCCTACATGTTTAACATACGTTCTTGTTCCATTTGGTAACCCTACAAGGTATTTTGCAGAAGGTTCTATAGTAGTAGGTAATTGTAGAATAGAATAATCAAAAGTCATATGGTCAGATGCTCCAGTATCAATTATCCAACTATTCTTATCAAGGTAAGACATCAAGGCAATAGAATTACCTGCCAAGTTAGCAGTGGGAGGAGAAACATTCTCCTTTCCTAGCAATTGGAGGATGTGATTGTATTGCTCAGTAGTCAGAACAGGACCAACAACTGAATCTCAGTTTCCAATGCTAACCATTGATCCTGAATTTCCCATATCCAATGACTCTGAAGTATGCACCTGATTGACAGTAAATTTTGACTTAGAGTTTGCTTTGCCTTTAGTGAATTGATGGTCAGGTGGATACCCATGCAACTTGTAACAAGTATCTCATTTGTGTCCAGGAATGTGACAAAATTCGCATTCAATGTAGGGCTTCTTCCCCTTATATTTTTGGCGTTGATTCTAACCTTTGCCATTTTCAGAATGATTGGCATAAAGTGCTGTAGTTACTTCTGAATTCAAACTCATCCCTGCCAAAATTTTCTGACTTTCATCTTGATTGACCACTGAATAAGTTTGCTTGACATTCAGTAAAGGATTCATTAGCAAGATTTGGCTTCGAACCATGGAATATGACTCAGTTAATCCCATCAAAAAATGCAGTAATTTCTGCTGATTCAGATGCTCCAAATATGCTTTTGCCGAGGCACTATCAGGTGCAGGAAGACTGATCAAGGAGTCCAACTCATCCCATAATGACTTCAATTTACTATAGTAGCTAGCTACAGAATTAGTTCCTTGAGTTAGGTTAACAATTTCCCAATGCAACCCAAACACTCTAGTGCCACTCACTTTGTTATATTGTTCTTTCAAATCTAGCCAGACCTGTGCAGCACTTGTAGAGTAAACTATACCATTGAAGATCTCTTTCGAGACTGAATTAAAAATCCATGCAAGCACCAGTGAATTACATCTCTCCCATTGTGGAACCAAGCTAGAATGCACAGTCGATTTTGTGCATTTACCATTAACAAATCCAAGTTCATTTTTAGCACAGAGAGAGACCGTCATGGCTCGACTCCAAATGCTGGCTCCAACAAGCTGTTCAGAAACCAGTACAGAGCCGGGTGTATCTGATGGATGGACATACAAAGGAGAGTTGGAGTCAATCGATTGAATGGTAACTTCTTCTGTCGATGTTGCCATATTTGATCAACTAATTATCAAATTGATTGGTCTAGAATCAAATTCAAGTCGAATCCACTAAGCATTTAGACTGAACAGAAAACCTAATTCAAGATTTCAAGCTAAAATTCAAGATCTCAAACTAAAAATTCGAAGGATGAAGCAAAGAAATCAAGTAGAAATCAAGTGTTCAAGCTGATTTGAACTTATCTGAATCAAAAAGCTTCACTCTAATTGACTCATTCTCAGGTGAGGGCTGGAGATTCCGTAGCTCTGATACCATGTTAATAAACGAGAGAAAAGGAAATAGAGCTAAATTTGGGAAAGTGAGAATTTGCTCTTTACTGAATGTTACTGTTCGTTTATATACAGCAGTAACTTCAGTCAACTGAAGTTACTTATTGACTGAAGAATAAAAGTAAATTACATGAATACCCTTTACATCTAATACTACATTTACACCACCCTTTACACCATTTTCATTACATCATGATGTGATATATGCCATAACCATACAAATTTTTAATTATTTTAAATTTTTAATATTCCTTTCATCTATCAATTTTGAGATATTTTTTCCTTCCTAATTCATAAAAGGGCTTGAACTTGTAATCAGTTTCTGTCTTTTACTCTAACCCGATTGNACATTATAATTGAAAATTTTTTATTAAACTAAAATTTGGGTATGGACGGCCTTTATAAACAAAATGCAATGCAAGAGAGAAATGAAATATGTTTTTTAAAACTTGTTTTGGGAGGCCTAAATTTTTAAACATTATAATTGAAAATTTTTTATTAAACTAAAATTTGGGTATGGACGGCCTTTATAAACAAAATGCAATGCAAGAGAGAAATGAAATATGTTTTTTAAAACTTGTTTTGGGAGGCCTAAATTTTTAAACATTATAATTGAAAATTTTTTATTAAACTAAAATTTGGGTATGGACGGCCTTTATAAACAAAATGCAATGCAAGAGAGAAATGAAATATGTTTTTTAAAACTTGTTTTGGGAGGCCTAAATTTTTAAACATTATAATTGAAAATTTTTTATTAAACTAAAATTTGGGTATGGACGGCCTTTATAAACAAAATGCAATGCAAGAGAGAAATGAAATATGTTTTTTAAAACTTGTTTTGGGAGGCCTAAATTTTTAAACATTATAATTGAAAATTTTTTATTAAACTAAAATTTGGGTATGGACGGCCTTTATAAACAAAATGCAATGCAAGAGAGAAATGAAATATGTTTTTTAAAACTTGTTTTGGGAGGCCTAAATTTTTAAACATTATAATTGAAAATTTTTTATTAAACTAAAATTTGGGTATGGACGGCCTTTATAAACAAAATGCAATGCAAGAGAGAAATGAAATATGTTTTTTAAAACTTGTTTTGGGAGGCCTAAATTTTTAAACATTATAATTGAAAATTTTTTATTAAACTAAAATTTGGGTATGGACGGCCTTTATAAACAAAATGCAATGCAAGAGAGAAATGAAATATGTTTTTTAAAACTTGTTTTGGGAGGCCTAAATTTTTAAACATTATAATTGAAAATTTTTTATTAAACTAAAATTTGGGTATGGACGGCCTTTATAAACAAAATGCAATGCAAGAGAGAAATGAAATATGTTTTTTAAAACTTGTTTTGGGAGGCCTAAATTTTTAAACATTATAATTGAAAATTTTTTATTAAACTAAAATTTGGGTATGGACGGCCTTTATAAACAAAATGCAATGCAAGAGAGAAATGAAATATGTTTTTTAAAACTTGTTTTGGGAGGCCTAAATTTTTAAACATTATAATTGAAAATTTTTTATTAAACTAAAATTTGGGTATGGACGGCCTTTATAAACAAAATGCAATGCAAGAGAGAAATGAAATATGTTTTTTAAAACTTGTTTTGGGAGGCCTAAATTTTTAAACATTATAATTGAAAATTTTTTATTAAACTAAAATTTGGGTATGGACGACCGTCCATCTTACATGGACAACCGTCCATTGTATATGGATGTCCGTCCATATAAGATAGATGCCTGTCCATTATTATTTTTAAACTTTTTTGGACCGGCGTCCATCATAGTAAATGAACACCCGTTCATATTATATGGACGATCGTCTATTGATATTGTCGCGGACGATCGTCCATTCGTGATGAACGGTCGTCTATTCACAGAATCAGTATTCTTTGTCCAACATGACCGCATCTTAGTGGATGTTACGTCGTTCTGTAAAAATTTCGGTGCACAAATTCGGTGTTCGTAGCATTACTGTTGTCTTATTTGTGGGTTCTGTGACGCTTTTTTTCACAAATAATTGCTAGTATTATTAGTTTAATTTACGACTGCTACCATACATAAATTTTATACCTAGTTATTCATATAATAATAATGACCCATCATCAACAAAGATATCTTTGTTAATGGTGGGTCACTGTTATTGTCTTGTTCAGTGAATATAATACAGATGAGGTACACTTAGGATTATTCACCCACTATGATAGCAAACCAAGAAAGAGTGAAAGACTATGTCAGTATAGAGGAGAACAGTCCCCAATTTCTTTGGACACACATTAATTAGGCATCTTTAAATTAAAGTTATCACCTCCATTATAGTTGAGAAGCTTTGAATGCCAACGGACTTGCCTACATATACAAAAAGTTGTCTCCTTCATGAGCTGTTACGTGCAACTACTCCATGTTGACATTCTTGATCCCTTTCTCACTCTCCTCCTCACTTTCGTCTTTACTAGTGTGATTACTCATTCGGTGGTGGTAGTTGTGAGTTCAGTACTGTGACTGAAACTCAAATATTCAACCGTTGAGGGGAGATGAAAGCTTAAAACCCCCTATACTAATTAATTACACTAATTATTCAAATGCAGGTAACATTGAAACTACCCTGAAAAGGGACACCTATCTCTTGATTTGATTTGACTGGATTTCTTTTTAATTTTTTCTACTTTAGTTAATGAACATTAAGAAAAAAGAAACGTTAACAAGATCTATCATGCATACAGTATGACAATGGGCCACACAGATATTAAAATCCTTTTGTAAACCATTAAAAGGCTCAACGACTTTTTACACTCTGGCAGTCTAATTAAAGATCAACTAATATATTATATTTATACAGATTCGAATCTCTCCTACACCCTCATTGCATTTGCAATTTTGCACCAACGTTTGTACTGGGAGAGAAGAAGGAGAAAAAAAAAAAAATGGCTTACGCATACTTCATATGGTTCCTTTTAAATCACTTTGTTCTATTTGTAGCCACAATCCAGGCAAAAGTTCCTGCAGTCATTGTGTTTGGAGACTCATCCGTTGATGCAGGAAATAACAATTTTATTCCAACTGTTGCTAGGAGCAATTTCCGGCCATATGGACGTGATTTTACAGGTGGCCATCCCACTGGAAGGTTCTCTAATGGCAGAATCGCCACTGACTTTCTTTCTGAGGCTTTAGGGGTCAAACCAACTATACCAGCCTACTTGGATACGGCATATAACATTTCAGATTTTGCCACCGGAGTTACCTTTGCTTCTGCCGGCTCTGGCTATGACAACGCCACTTCTGATGTGCTGGTTAGTAACTTCACTTTGGTCTCTACATCTACAGTATTTCGGTTGGCGGATTTAATTAATTTTTAAGTTCATTAAATTACGCTTTCCTTTTTGGTTTGTAGTCTGTGATACCTCTATGGAAGGAGCTGGAGTACTACAGGGATTACCAGAAGAAACTGAGAGCTTATCTTGGAGAAAAAAAAGCAGACGAAAGGATTAGTGAGTCTCTACACATAATCAGCGCAGGAACAAACGACTTCCTGGAGAATTACTACGCTTTCCCTAGACCTGGAGGCCGATCTTCCCAGTACAACATCACGGAGTACCAAAATTTTCTGGTAGGAATTGCCGAGAATTTCGTCAAGAACCTGTATGCTCTTGGAGCTAGAAAAATCAGCGTAGGAGGTCTTCCTCCAATGGGGTGTATGCCACTGGAGAGAACCACAAATTTTATGGGAGAGCATCTCTGTGTGGAGAGATACAACATTCTGGCTATGGGATTCAACGATAAACTGAAGAAGTTAACCATAAATTTGAACAAGGAGCTACCTGGAGTCAACCTTGTTTTCTCAAATCCTTATTATGCTTTCATGCATATTTTACGAAATCCTGATAATTATGGTCAGTTAAACGTCATTCCATTCCATGGTTTTCTTATCACTTTTCCTTCTTACAAATTTACACAGGCTGTTAGTGTCTTTAATTGCTGCTCTTCTTTCTTCAACTACCCCTTGGAAGAATATTGAGATTTTCACATTCGCTGGATGGGGGCTTTAATGTTTTCACGCAGGACTCAACATATTTTCAAAAGCATAATTAAAAGCCCAAGTCCAACAAGGCCTAATATTTGTAGATGTTATGTTGGTTCAAATAAGTTTTAATATATAATTAAAAACATAATTAACGATTTGGTATGATATGATATGCAGGGATTGAGGTTACAGAAGTGGCATGTTGCGCAACGGGGATGTTCGAGATGGGTTATGCATGCGCTAGAAACAATCTGTTTACGTGCACAAACGCGGACAAATATGCGTTCTGGGATGCCTTTCATCCTACTCAGAAAACTAATCAAATAATTGCTAATTATTTGATGAAGAATGTCTTTTCCGTCTTTCACTGATCTCCATATTTTGTGCTTTATTATTTGTAATAGTATTACTACTTATGATCAATCTGCCACTCTGTATGCATATGTATATCGTCGTGGCTTTTCCCCGTGTTTATATGAACTAGATTTGTAATATTATTAAATCTGGTCCTTCTGTTTTTGATCTTGATAAAATAAATAATGGCACTGTTTCTGAATATCGATCCACCAATCTTTTTCATGAACATCCTTTTTGTTGTCTTCAACAAATTAATTTGATAATGCCGTCTCTAGAAACTAATCACTCTAAGATAATAGTTAGTATTGGAGCCTCATACCAATTAGACACACGTTCAAATTTATTGGTTTATAAGAGAGAGTAATTTTCTTAGTCAAAAAACTTTATTGGGTAAATAGTTAAACTCCTCTCAAATTCTATCGTAATATTAAAGCTGAGGTTGAGTAATCCTCCCATTCAACCGCTCAAGCCTACTAGTTAAATTACTAAAATAATACAAAAGTTCTCAACAGAATTTATAAAAAAGGGTAATTATCTATTCAACCCCTTAAGCCTATTAGATAGTAAAATAGTACAAAATTTCCTATCAATTTTAAATATTTGCTAATAAAAATATCTAGCCACTCAAGTTGTTCAACAGTCACGTGCATGTTCTTATTTGCTAAAATATTTGAAGATATTTCAAAAAAATAGTCAACTAATTTAATAACTGGTCTGGAATTGCGGATTTGCGGTCGGAAAACTCTATATAAAAAATAATTTCCAAAAATTTATATTCACAATCGAATTTAATGTATCGAGCTAATAAAAATGACTCACCTACCGATTTTTTTATTTTTTTATTTTTTTTAGGATCAAAGGTGTCTGGTTAACTTAACATCAACTAATCTCTTAGGACTTTGAAACTATCGTTCTAATAGTTATTATTATTAGTAATTATAAGATTTAAACTTGAAAGAACATATTAGATCTTTCTTTTATTTTTTTACCCTCAAAAGGACTCGAATAAGAGAAACCATGTAAGATTGTCCTCAAAAAAACCATATTAAATTATTCTTTTGGGATATCACATTAAATTCTCATCTTGTTTTTTAAGAGAACTCATTTTAAGATCATGTTAAATCTTCTTTACTTTTTATTATCAGGTCACCAATAGTGATTACCAATCAACCCAAATTGCAATAAAACTACTTTATATCAATTAATTGATACCATAAAAAATCAAACAGTATTATTGACTGAATAAAAAAGTAATTATTATTGAAGATTTTAAGTTCTAAAATAACAAAAAACAACGGCACATGCATTAATATTGTGTCTTGCCTGGTATATCCAAACATAAAATTTATCTACACAATCTGTCGGCTTTGTTTCATTCTTTTGGCCTTGTCGATAACTCTTAAACTATTGATGATCAAATACCAATCTCTGTACTGTAGGAATCACATGCTTATATTAATTCATTTGTCCAATATTACCCCAATCGCATTTTTGGACTGCATTTAAATTAGCCCTCCGGAGCCATATACAGATAATCCTTGTTAATATCTCCCCTGATTTTTTTATGCTGATTATTTAACGGCATCATGATGATGTTGGGAGAAGGAGAATTGGTGAAGTGGATTCGCACTGGCCCTCAACCACAGCACTAAACAAGTGAGTGTATTACACTACAGTGCTACTCACTACACTAGCGGAGAAGAAGACAGTAATGGTCTTTGCATGCACCGCGTAGCAGTGGATATTTCCAACAGGATTCCTGACCATTTTCTCACTGCTAGTGTCATGCCCACGCTCACTTTCCACGGATTAATTTGCACGTCTCTTGACTACGGGGAATAAGAAGTGAATTTTACTGACTAATAGTTTTAAATTTAATATTATTTAACTTGGGAATAAATTTAGGCATCTTGATACTCTATAATTTTTTCATCATTATAATACTTTAATTTTTTTTGTTTTAATCTAAGTTATAATTTCAATTGGGATTATTTATCATCTTTATAGATTAATTGGAATTTCAAATTTAAGAAGTCATAATATATAATGGAACCGTCAACTAAAGTTATATAATTAATATTCTAATAATATATTCAGCCATCAACTAACTTGTTAGGATATTTACAAAAATTCACCAACCATGCCCTTGTGTTTTGGAAGGTTCTTAATGGCAGAATCGCCACTGACTTTTCTTCTGGACTTTAGGGGTCAAAACAACTATACCAGCCTACTTGGATGCAGCATAACATTTCAGATTTTGCCACCGGAGTTACCTTTGCTTCGCGGCTCTGGCTATGACAACGCCACTTCTGATGTGCTGGTTAGTAACTTCACTTTGGTCTCTACATCTACAGTATTTCGGGTGGCGGATTTAATTAATTTTTAAGTTCATTAAATTACGCTTTCCTTTTTGGTTGTAGTCTGTGATACCTCTATGGAAGGAGCTGGAGTACTACAGGGATTACCAGAAGAAACTGAGAGCTATCTTGGAGGAAAAAAAGCAGACGAAAGGATTAGTGAGTCTCTACACATAATCAGCGCAGGAACAAACGACTTCCTGGAGAATTACTACGCTTTCCCTAGACCTGGAGGCCGATCTTCCAGTACAACATCACGGAGTACCAAAATTTTCTGGTAGGAATTGCCGAGAATTTCGTCAAGAACCTGTATGCTCTTGGAGCTAGAAAAATCAGCGGTAGAGGTCTTCCTCCAATGGGGTATGCCACTGGAGGAACCACAAATTTTATGGGAGGCATCTCTGTGTGGAGAGATACAACATTCTGGCTATGGGATTCAACGATAAACTGAAGAAGTTAACCATAAATTTGAACAAGGAGCTACCTGGAGTCAACCTTGTTTTCTCAAATCTATTTGCTTTCATGCATATTTTACGAAATCCTGATAATATTGGTCAGTTAAACGGCATTCCATTCCATGGTTTTCTTATCACTTTTCCTTCTTACAAATTTACACAGGCTGTTAGTGTCTTAATTGCTGCTCTTCTTTCTTCAACTACCCCTTGGAAGAATATGAGATTTTCACATTCGCTGGATGGGTGGAAAAACCAACAAAATTATGTCAGATCATATAATTCCACAACTAAAATCTCGATTTGCATAATTTTTCAGACTCCAAGGTATTATGCATGGTTTGTAGGCAAGTTTAATTATTAGTGCACCATCGATATCTCGAAACCACTTGATCGATTCCAAAAAAAAAAAAAAAATGGGATTTATCAATCAAACTATAGATTCAACGATCTTTGAGCATCCATAACAGTATAGAAAGATAAAATAGATGTTTCCCTAAATTAATGTAAACATGTACATATTTTTAGCAACTAATGCATGCATGATTTGTAATAGTTTGTAGCAGCTGCGGTGCTTAAATAAATATTTTTATGAATTTACTTTACTCTTGGAACTTTTTTATTGATGTCTTCTCGCCTCTCGCCCTCAAATTATTTAATTAATCTCTTTATTAAGCCTCCCAAACAGAAGTTGATGGGTCCATTGTCTTATGAAAAATGCTACAGACACCAAATACTGGTACCAAAATTTTACACCAATCTATGTGGCATCTGACTCAAACATGCCACGTAGGATACAACACAAGTATTCAATGAATAAACAGTCATCCAACAATTATGGACACCCGTCTATATTTTATGAACGACCGTTCATCACGAATGGACAAGAATCCATAAAATATCAATAGACTCTCGTCCATATATTATGGATGGGAGTCCTTTTACTATGGACGATCATCCACATAATTTTAGATGAAATATTCATTTTTAAAACACAAAATTTTTAGATGAAATAAAAGAAAAAAAAAACTTTGATTTTAAGTGAAAGCAAGGACGCCAGTCCATCTAATGAGTGGACGGGCGTCCATTCTTGATTTTTTTTTTTTTCAATTTTTTTTTTTCATTTATAAACAAAATGCAATGCAAGAGAGAAATGAAATATGTTTTTTAAAACCTGTTTTGGGAGGCCTAAATTTTTAAACATTCTAATTGAAAATTTTAAAGAAATTTTTTTATTAAACTAAAATTTGGGTATGGACAGCCGTCCATCTTACACGTACAACAGTCCATTGTCCATATACACAGGTGTCCATATAAGATGAATGTCTGTCCATTATTTGTTTTTAAACTTTTTTGGACGGGTGTCCATCTTAGTAAATAGACACTGATTCATATTATATGGACGATCGTCCATTGATATTGTCGTGGACGATCGTTCATTCGTGATGAACGGTCGTCCATAACATATGGACGGCCGTCCGTGTAAGATAGACGGTCGTCTATTTACAGAATCAATATTTTCTGTCCAATGTGACCGCGTCTTAGTGGAGGCCATGTCGTTCAGTAAAAAAATTCGGTGCACAAATTCGGTATCCATAGCATTACTGTTGTCTTATTTGTGGGTTATGTGACGCTTTTTTTCACAAATAATTGCTAGTATTATTAGTTTAATTTACGACTGCTACCATACATAAATTTTATACCTAGTTATTCATATAATAATAAGGACCCATCATTAACAAAGATATCTTTGTTAATGGTGGGTCACTGTTATTGTCTTGTTCAGTGAATATAATACAGATGAGGTACACTCAGGATTATTCACCCACTATGATAGCAAACCAAGAAAGAGTGAAAGACTATGTCAGTATAGAGGAGAACAGTCCCCAATTTCTTTGGACACACATTAATTAGGCATCTTTAAATTAAAGTTATCACCTCCATTCTAGTTGAGAAGCTTTGAATGCCAACGGACTTGCCTACATATACAAAAAGTTGTCTCCTTCATGAGCTGTTACGTGCAACTACTCCATGTTGACATTCTTGATCCCTTTCTCACTCTCCTCCTCACTTTCGTCTTTACTAGTGTGATTACTCATTCGGTGGTGGTAGTTGTGAGTTCAGTACTGTGACTGAAACTCAAATATTCAACCGTTGAGGGGAGATGAAAGCTTAAAACCCCCTATACTAATTAATTACACTAATTATTCAAATGCAGGTAACATTGAAACTACCCTGAAAAGGGACACCTATCTCTTGATTTGATTTGACTGGATTTCTTTTTAATTTTTTCTACTTTAGTTAATGAACATTAAGAAAAAAGAAACGTTAACAAGATCTATCATGCATACAGTATGACAATGGGCCACACAGATATTAAAATCCTTTTGTAAACCATTAAAAGGCTCAACGACTTTTTACACTCTGGCAGTCTAATTAAAGATCAACTAATATATTATATTTATACAGATTCGAATCTCTCCTACACCCTCATTGCATTTGCAATTTTGCACCAACGTTTGTACTGGGAGAGAAGAAGGAGAAAAAAAAAAAAATGGCTTACGCATACTTCATATGGTTCCTTTTAAATCACTTTGTTCTATTTGTAGCCACAATCCAGGCAAAAGTTCCTGCAGTCATTGTGTTTGGAGACTCATCCGTTGATGCAGGAAATAACAATTTTATTCCAACTGTTGCTAGGAGCAATTTCCGGCCATATGGACGTGATTTTACAGGTGGCCATCCCACTGGAAGGTTCTCTAATGGCAGAATCGCCACTGACTTTCTTTCTGAGGCTTTAGGGGTCAAACCAACTATACCAGCCTACTTGGATACGGCATATAACATTTCAGATTTTGCCACCGGAGTTACCTTTGCTTCTGCCGGCTCTGGCTATGACAACGCCACTTCTGATGTGCTGGTTAGTAACTTCACTTTGGTCTCTACATCTACAGTATTTCGGTTGGCGGATTTAATTAATTTTTAAGTTCATTAAATTACGCTTTCCTTTTTGGTTTGTAGTCTGTGATACCTCTATGGAAGGAGCTGGAGTACTACAGGGATTACCAGAAGAAACTGAGAGCTTATCTTGGAGAAAAAAAAGCAGACGAAAGGATTAGTGAGTCTCTACACATAATCAGCGCAGGAACAAACGACTTCCTGGAGAATTACTACGCTTTCCCTAGACCTGGAGGCCGATCTTCCCAGTACAACATCACGGAGTACCAAAATTTTCTGGTAGGAATTGCCGAGAATTTCGTCAAGAACCTGTATGCTCTTGGAGCTAGAAAAATCAGCGTAGGAGGTCTTCCTCCAATGGGGTGTATGCCACTGGAGAGAACCACAAATTTTATGGGAGAGCATCTCTGTGTGGAGAGATACAACATTCTGGCTATGGGATTCAACGATAAACTGAAGAAGTTAACCATAAATTTGAACAAGGAGCTACCTGGAGTCAACCTTGTTTTCTCAAATCCTTATTATGCTTTCATGCATATTTTACGAAATCCTGATAATTATGGTCAGTTAAACGTCATTCCATTCCATGGTTTTCTTATCACTTTTCCTTCTTACAAATTTACACAGGCTGTTAGTGTCTTTAATTGCTGCTCTTCTTTCTTCAACTACCCCTTGGAAGAATATTGAGATTTTCACATTCGCTGGATGGGGGCTTTAATGTTTTCACGCAGGACTCAACATATTTTCAAAAGCATAATTAAAAGCCCAAGTCCAACAAGGCCTAATATTTGTAGATGTTATGTTGGTTCAAATAAGTTTTAATATATAATTAAAAACATAATTAACGATTTGGTATGATATGATATGCAGGGATTGAGGTTACAGAAGTGGCATGTTGCGCAACGGGGATGTTCGAGATGGGTTATGCATGCGCTAGAAACAATCTGTTTACGTGCACAAACGCGGACAAATATGCGTTCTGGGATGCCTTTCATCCTACTCAGAAAACTAATCAAATAATTGCTAATTATTTGATGAAGAATGTCTTTTCCGTCTTTCACTGATCTCCATATTTTGTGCTTTATTATTTGTAATAGTATTACTACTTATGATCAATCTGCCACTCTGTATGCATATGTATATCGTCGTGGCTTTTCCCCGTGTTTATATGAACTAGATTTGTAATATTATTAAATCTGGTCCTTCTGTTTTTGATCTTGATAAAATAAATAATGGCACTGTTTCTGAATATCGATCCACCAATCTTTTTCATGAACATCCTTTTTGTTGTCTTCAACAAATTAATTTGATAATGCCGTCTCTAGAAACTAATCACTCTAAGATAATAGTTAGTATTGGAGCCTCATACCAATTAGACACACGTTCAAATTTATTGGTTTATAAGAGAGAGTAATTTTCTTAGTCAAAAAACTTTATTGGGTAAATAGTTAAACTCCTCTCAAATTCTATCGTAATATTAAAGCTGAGGTTGAGTAATCCTCCCATTCAACCGCTCAAGCCTACTAGTTAAATTACTAAAATAATACAAAAGTTCTCAACAGAATTTATAAAAAAGGGTAATTATCTATTCAACCCCTTAAGCCTATTAGATAGTAAAATAGTACAAAATTTCCTATCAATTTTAAATATTTGCTAATAAAAATATCTAGCCACTCAAGTTGTTCAACAGTCACGTGCATGTTCTTATTTGCTAAAATATTTGAAGATATTTCAAAAAAATAGTCAACTAATTTAATAACTGGTCTGGAATTGCGGATTTGCGGTCGGAAAACTCTATATAAAAAATAATTTCCAAAAATTTATATTCACAATCGAATTTAATGTATCGAGCTAATAAAAATGACTCACCTACCGATTTTTTTATTTTTTTATTTTTTTTAGGATCAAAGGTGTCTGGTTAACTTAACATCAACTAATCTCTTAGGACTTTGAAACTATCGTTCTAATAGTTATTATTATTAGTAATTATAAGATTTAAACTTGAAAGAACATATTAGATCTTTCTTTTATTTTTTTACCCTCAAAAGGACTCGAATAAGAGAAACCATGTAAGATTGTCCTCAAAAAAACCATATTAAATTATTCTTTTGGGATATCACATTAAATTCTCATCTTGTTTTTTAAGAGAACTCATTTTAAGATCATGTTAAATCTTCTTTACTTTTTATTATCAGGTCACCAATAGTGATTACCAATCAACCCAAATTGCAATAAAACTACTTTATATCAATTAATTGATACCATAAAAAATCAAACAGTATTATTGACTGAATAAAAAAGTAATTATTATTGAAGATTTTAAGTTCTAAAATAACAAAAAACAACGGCACATGCATTAATATTGTGTCTTGCCTGGTATATCCAAACATAAAATTTATCTACACAATCTGTCGGCTTTGTTTCATTCTTTTGGCCTTGTCGATAACTCTTAAACTATTGATGATCAAATACCAATCTCTGTACTGTAGGAATCACATGCTTATATTAATTCATTTGTCCAATATTACCCCAATCGCATTTTTGGACTGCATTTAAATTAGCCCTCCGCAGCCATATACAGATAATCCTTGTTAATATCTCCCCTGATTTTTGTGTGCTGATTATTTAACGGCATCATGATGATGTTGGGAGAAGGAGAATTGGTGAAGTGGATTCGCACTGGCCCTCAACCACAGCACTAAACAAGTGAGTGTATTACACTACAGTGCTACTCACTACACGAGCGGAGAAGAAAACAGTAATGGTCTTTGCATGCACCGCGTAGCAGTGGATATTTCCAACAGGATTCCTGACCATTTTCTCACTACTAGTGTTATGCCCACGCTCACTTTCCACGGATTGATTTGCACGTCTCTTGACTACGGGGAATAATAAGTGTATTTTACTGACTAATAGTTTTAAATTTAATATTATTTAACTTGGGAATAAATTTAGGCATCTTGATACTCTATAATTTTTTCATCATTATAATACTTTAATTTTTTTTGTTTTAATCTAAGTTATAATTTCAATTGGGATTATTTATCATCTTTATAGATTAATTGGAATTTCAAATTTAAGAAGTCATAATATATAATGGAACCGTCAACTAAAGTTATATAATTAATATTCTAATAATATATTCAGCCATCAACTAACTTGTTAGGATATTTACAAAAATTCACCAACCATGCCCTTGTGTTTGTCCTTCTCATCACTCTCTTAGTGTCATTAAACTAAATAAACTAGTATTAAATTTGATTATTTGGGTCTATTATAGCATTTTATTCCTTATTGGTCAAGTTAATTTTAATATTTTTCAAATGTAAACATGGTCAAGTTGTAGGCGCGTCGGTCAATTACGACACTTCTTCACATCACATAACACCCTATATAAAAAGACGAGAGAGAACTAAACCCTCGTAGATAAGAATACTCCAAGCCAAAGCCATAACTCAACCATGAAGAAGCTCAACAGGAAAGGCAAAGTGCACCCATCGCCCGCACCATTACCAACCATCTCTGACCAGCACTTAACGTTACTCCCGGCAACAATCCTAATCCTAGCTGCAACTCTTTCGCCTGAAGACAAACAAGTCTTGGCATATCTCCTCTCATGCTCTGGCTGCACTAACGCCACCACTGCTGATAACTTTAACAAAACTACCCAGAAAAGTAGTGTTCGTGTTGATGGTGGTGGCGGTGACCATGTGCCTATATTTGAATGCAACTGTTTTAGGTGTTACATGAGTTTTTGGGCTCGCTGGGACACGTCACCAAACCGTCAACTTATTCATGAGATTATCGAGGCCTATGAGGAAGGATTGGTTAAAGAGAAGAAGACTCTGAAAAAGAAGAAGAGGGGGAATTCAAGGAAGAAAGTTTCTGATGAGTCAAAAGATGGTGACAAGGACGAGTTGGGAAATTCAGGCTCGTCAGTGGAAATGAGTTGTGGTTGTGGGGCTGATGCCGCCGCCGCCTCAGAGGACCTTGATCTGGTTGGTGGTGGTGAAGATGGTGATAAGGTAGATTTGGAGAAAGGGTCTTTGAGAAAGATTGTGAGCTTCCTCGGAGAAAGAATTCTGGGATTTTGGGCATAGGAATTAGATTAATTTTCTCTGCAAGAGAGAAAATTGTGTTTTGTTCACTCTATATTTCCTTCCTCTTTTCCCATTTGTACAATATTATTATCAGCAATTTTCTTAAGCTAGATTATTTGTTCTATGGGTCATTTGATTTTCTCCATTTTTCCCAGGTATCAAACTTTTGATCAGTAGTCTGATCAATATATCTGGTTCGTATGTATGTAAATTTTTGCTATCGGTTTTTGCCTTGTGTATAACATTTCTTATTCGTTCGGGATTGAATGTGGAGCCTGCTGTATGGAATATAAGTTTGAAAGTGTCAAAGTCAACATATTTCAGCGTTTATGAATAGGAATAGAGCCATAGACGAAACTTGACACGGTCAAACTTTGACTTATCAACGCTGAAATGCAGATTTCCGTGCCTCCCGTCTGGCCCCGTCATTTTGGAGCTTTAACTGAGAAAACAACGTATTCCCACTAGAGGTTTGGTCTAAATCGGTATGTATGGTTGCATTATTCCAGATTTTAACTATTAAGGTATCATTGTTGGTGATTTTTAGGTTGTAAGGGGTGTTATTATCATAATGCTCTTTACAGATAAATTAATAAACTATTTTTTAATCCCCAAATTAGTAGAATTATTTAATCTGCATACTTTCAAATTTATTTCAATAACACCTTTGACGATTGTGCACTCTCTCAGTTTTTGCCTGATCTGGGTTGTTTCCTATGGAGTTGAACCCCCTTGCCACCTCCATCATCTTCCCCATAGTCCATACTCCAAAACTCCCCTATTTTCAAACTCATTGACCCCTCCGATCGCCGGTGTCATTAGGTTTAAGGTTTCGTTATTCTTTGCCAGATTTCAGCCGATTCTGGTAGCCAAAATCCAATTGGACACCAACATCGCAACTAGCTTCTTCAACTCTACAAAACCACTCTATCCCCAGTAATCGATTAGTCGTCGTTTGCCAGCCGAGAGGTTCGTGTTCATCGCATTTTTTGGTAAAATGGTGGGCGGCAAATGGTGAGCTGTTGTGGCCGGGAAGGTTAGGGGTTTTGTAGGGAAGGGAACGAAGAGTCAAACAGTGGTGGTGGTTGGGGTGGTTTTCGCCACTCAAAATGGTCAAAAATCGGCAAAAAGAAGTCACATGATGCGGTTGCCATGGCGGGCGATCAGTGAGTGATGAGGCCTGGAGGGGGTGAATGGTGAGGTTTTGTAGAGGGGAAGATGAGGGTTTGAATGGTGGTGACAAGGGTGGTGATTTTGGGTGGAAGAATTGTTGAAAAAAGGGCGAAAAAAGCCAAGGGCGACGCTTGCTAACATGTGCCGTATCCTGCAAAATGGCCACTTTACCCTTTAACCGTTATATTAATCAATTTTATTTACATTACTTTAAAGGTGTGGATCTAGAATAAATGCAACCACAGTTACCAACTTGAGGTTTTGCCAAACCTCGGGTGGGAATATGTCGTTTGCTCTTAACTTAATTTATTTCAGTTTCATGACTTAATTTATTAAACAAGAAACATAAAGTGCCTGTTTTTGCATAATTTCAATGGAATTGATACTGTGGTACAATTGTTTGGTGAGATTTATTAAGTTAATGTAATATGCGATGTAACTAATGAAGAATCAACAAATTCACCTGTTTATGTTCATTTCATTTGGCATTCACACCTGTTGAATTTTTAGATTGGTTTCATGCATGTGGCAAGTCTATACACTTGTGAAATGTAACTGTCAATATAATTTTTTAAGTAACCTTTCACACAAATTGGTAGGTAATCAGGTCCAAGATTCACATTTAAGATTTAGAATATCTCTTTTCATATATACCAGCCCATTAACTTCAAAGGTGGAAACCCAAGCCCTATAAAGTTTAAGCCCAAGCTAGGCCCATTCAACAATACGCTTCGGCGCACATTAGTCCTCGCCACCATAGCTCTCCAGTTACGCATTACGCTCTCTGCCTCATTTCAAATAAACAACTTCTTCATTCCTCCAAATTTCGTCAGACCAATCACTCACCATCATGGACGCACTCTTCGAAACAATCAACGTTCGAGATCTTCTCTCCACTCACGATCTATCAGACCCCACCTCACCGCTCTCCGCACCCGATCTCCGCCTTCTAATCTCCCGCCTCGAGTCACACTCCCTTCAAATCAAATCCAAAGTCCAGTCCTACATCGTATCTCACCGCCAGGACTTCGCTTCACTCTTCTCTGTCTGCAACGACGCTGTTTCGCGAACAGAAGAAATTTCTACCAAGTTATCAGAGATCTTGGAATTGATCTCCGACCATCCGATAGACGCGGAGGTTAGGGAAATAATTGAGGAGGTGAGTGAGAAGATGAGAGAGGTGAGGGTAAAAAGGGAAATGCTGGAGTTGGTGAGACTAATTGTGAGAATCTATGAGAGGTTACAGGGAGTGAGAGAGGCTGTGAGAGATGGACGGTTGAGATTTGCTGCTGAAGAAGTGAGGGAGTTGAAGAAAGCTTTGAGAATTGGTGATGAGAATGAGAGAGAGCCAATAGTGTACGGTTTGCTGAGGAAAGAGTGGCTCCATTGCTTCGAGGAGGTAGCGATTGTGTTTATTTATTTATGGTATATTATTATTATCGTTTTTTTGAAGAATTTGTTTGGTTGCTGAGAAAATCGAGGAAAATGAGAGAAAAGGGAAATTTTAGTTGAATTTAAGTGAAATAACTGCCAATATGCATGCGTAGGGAAATTCAATCGTACTTCAAGTTACTGATTATGAGGAAATATGTCTATATATAATAATAATAATAATAATAATAATAATAATAATAATAATAATAAAAAATATGTATAACTTAATATAAAGCTTGATTCAACTTATTTGAAATATATGACATGCATGAGGCTGAATAGAATGTTCAGCTTTTAGTATGGAATGTAAAATACTAAAATTTAGTAATTTATAAAAACTCGTGGTATGAGGACTTAAGACTTCTAATATGAATTTGAAGTTGCAATATGAGAGTGTCAGTTTGGAATCAGTACCTACTATAGGCACACATATTTAAAATCGCAAGATTATGAAACCTAGGATGGTTCTAACCTTGGATGCATAGGAAACTGCAGGTCTGCTGTATTACTATTTCTGTTGTTTAATTCTTCTAGTGTCGAAAAAAGTTAAATTAAGCTAAATATTCTTGTAAGACTTGTGGGTTCTTGGATGTTTATTTTGGTGAGCTGTGTTTGTTTTATTTTGTGATTTTTATATTGAGTTTGTGATTGGTTTTTAGAGGAACTGGATTTGGGTTTGTAGATACAAGAATTGCTTGTGAAGTACATGGAAAGTGCAGTGCGGTTTGAGCGAGAATCTAATAGAGTTTTGGTTAACTATCGGTTAAATGTTGATGGAATTGATGGGATTGAACTTCGTACAGTTTTGGAAGCAATGGAGGTGAGTTTTGCACCTTATGTTTTACGTTGATTTTTGCACAACTGTATTTCTTTGCCTAGACCTAGTGTAACAGATATCATGAAGAGAGTATAAGTAAAATGACCTCTTGGAAAACATTACTGCATAAGTTTCTTGCAAATTTTGTGAGTTTTATTCATTTTGACGAAATTTTTTTCTCCATAGAATATTTAGTTAAGCCTCTATGTATCTTGGTGGTCAGTTAATTTTGACATCTTCAATATGCTTCATGGGTGAAATATTTTGGGAGAAATGTTATTTTGATCCTTGGATGGTTCTCCTTATAAATATTTCTTTTGAAACAGACTGATGCATTACCATTGACTTTTTAAAGTGGACATTGCTTTTGTTACTTGCCGCATATTTATATATTAATTGTTAAAGGGCTTCTGTAGGCAGTTGGAATATTGAATTATGGGCTTGCGAAAGTAGCAGATTTGATGGTGAAGTATGTTATCACTCCTGCTGTTAATGGATCACCTATCACATTTGTGGAAGAGTTAAATGAAGGAGCTGAGGCAACATTGAAGATCATACCATCAGTTGATTCTAAAGTAATTATTATACATCAACTTCTGCATCGATTCGTTTATTGCTTTACATTATTCTGTCCACTCACTAAGGGTTTTTATCCACTCTGCAATTGATACTTTGGTGCAGTTTGTTATATGTCATTTGAACATTTCTTCTGTAATTTTCAGATTGAAAATGCAGATGGAAAAACCATCTATTCTGGGATTATTCAAGTTATTAAGTTTAACTACAAATGCATATGCTTCCAAAATGGTTCCTGGGTCCAGTGCTTGGGAAGATTGACGTGGCCAAGGATTTCGGAACTGATTATTTCCAAATTTCTCTCAAAGGTTTGTCAGTTAACACTTTGAAGTAGGTCTACAATAATTTGCTTTTTCTGCCTGATGTATCTGAAAGTCATCCTACAAATCATGCATTATCTTTTGTTTCAGGTTGTGCCTGAAGATGCTTCGAAGCTGGCTGACTTTCAGAAGATCATTGAATACACTTCTGAATTTGAGGCTGCTTTAAAGGAGATGAGGTTCATTTCAGCCTCTGATAATGAGGATGAAAGACTGAGCAATTTTGCTGAAAATGTTGAGGTGCACTTTGCATCTAAGAAGAAGACAGAAATTTTGGCAAAGGCTAGAAATTTGCTTCTACAGTGTGACTTTGCTGTTCCTGAAGTGAGTTTCCATCACTGTAATACATATTTTTCGAGCTGTTTGTTCTATAACTCTGCATAATCAATTTTTTTTTCCCCACAGGGATATACTAGGGAAAGTCCTAGATGGAAGAATGATAGGTGGGCTGAACATTCCCCTGAGCATCTTGTGGACTTGCTGTTTTTGTCTGACAGGTGTGTGGTATCCAAAGCAGCTTCTCAACTTATGAAGTTAGTGCATCAGACACTTCAGGTAATTAATTCAAGAGATATGATAATCTGATTTGACTTGATTATGCATTTGTATCATAAATGTGTGGGTTCTTTTATAGCCTGAGTCATTGGGTTCCTCCTCATGATGTATCAAACACCATTTTTTTTTTTTTTTGGTGTGTTTTCCTTAGGATCTTTTTGAATTAAATATATATATATAAGATTAAAGGTAGGAAGGTATTCATAAATGCAATTGTTAGTCACACTTGCAGCAACAGAATTCTTTATTATCTTTCCCTTTTACCATAGATAACGTATTCTTATTTCTATAATCTAAACAAGTTTTGATCATGTGATGCTGGTGCTTTTTATTCCCTTTTAAACTTAGGTTTTAAAAAACAATCATTTAACTTAAACTAGGTTTTTCTTTTACTAAAGTACCACATGTGCAATTCATAAATGAAATGACTTTTAGCATGTTTGTAGATTTAATATCTTGAGGACATTACTGTTAAATTGTGAGTAACCAAAGTCTCTGCAGGATGTTTGCTTGTCATCCACAAGAGTTGCATTGGAATTCCATCGTACTGCTAGGGATGCTATACTGCTCTATGAAGCTGTCATTCTTGTCAAGGTTAGTGCTCAGAGGGGAGTGGCATAAAATGAAATTTGCTACATGAATCTTCTTATAGATTTAGTTAGCATATAAACGTGAAAGTTCAGTAAAATTTTGAAATAATTGGTTTTATTCCTTGTTGGTTTAAAGTCGCTTGTGCTGTCTTCATTAGGTACTTTAAAGATTGTCACTTGGCCTCACTTGGGGTCCTGCAGAAATCTATGTTGTATGCAATTTCGTCTTCTCTTTTTATTTATATCAGTTGCTTTGAGTTCACAATATGTACCAGCGGTTCTGTTTCAAGTTAATATCATTTTTAGTTTAAAGCAAATCCTGCAATCTTTATGGAGTAAAAATCTGTTAAGTTAATTCTAGTATATTTTATCTTCACCAAAGCTGTGCTTGCTGTATGGGTAGTTAGATGTGGTACTTATATATCTTTGATGGCCTGTCATGATTATTTTATTAACCTTAACTTTTGGCCAATGAAGCTAGAAAGGCAGCTTGATGGCATCAACCAGGTTGCAGCCCTCATTCACAACGATTGTCTTTATTTATCCCAGGAGATACTCGGGCTAGCATTTGAGGTATGCACAAAGTGCCATAACATAGATTTGTTTATATTTTGTTATTCTTTTGTAACCTCTCTCTGCCCTTATCTACTTTACAAATAAATGGTTTCTTGGATAGGTTCTTGACATCATGATTTTCATAACTTGATCTGTTTATTTGATGCTGGTGCACTATTTTTTTTTATCCTGTATAAAGATTTGTTTAGTTGTTTTACCAAAATTGCCTCTTTGTTATTGGGGAAACTCAATCTTAATTGTCTTATGATGGACAAAACTTGGACTTTAATACTTTTCATCCACATTTTTCAGTATCAGTCCGACTTTCCAAGTTCCATTAAGGAACATGCTGTGTTTGTTGATATGGCTCCAAGATTTCATCTAATGGCTGAAGAAATACTGCAGAGGCAAATTCAGCTTGTTATTTTTAATTTGAGAGAGGTAAAGTTGTTACATCGTTCAGATTTGACATTGGCCAGAACATTTTGAAAGTTATCAGCTTTATGAATAGGTAAATTCACTGTTTTAATGTTGTGTTTATCTTTTTATTGTTAGGCTATAGATGGTGCTGATGGATTTCAGAATACTCATCACATGCAACAATATGAATCTGCAAAGTTCAGTATAGATCAGGTAGCTTGGCTGTCTATTTTATGGTCCTCCTTCTGCATACTATTTCTCTGCCATTTTTTCTCCCTTCTAATGAAGATAAACGTTTTCTTCGTCAGGTTGTTTTCATTCTTGAGAAAGTACATATTATATGGGAGCCTCTCTTGCTGCCTTTAACTTTTAAGAGAAGCATGTGTACGGTTTTAGAGTCAGTGTTTTCAAGAATCACAAGAGACATTCTCCTTATAGATGATATGGCAGCAGAAGAAACATTGCGGGTATAATATTCAGTTTCAGTCTTCATTCAAGTAATTGGAAATTTTTTACCCTTTTAAGATTTAGAATACAGCTAATTGGTTGACATTTTTCAGCTTCAAAGACTGATACATCTGATGCTTGAAAACTTATCATCTTTATTGGAGTCCATAACTGCTGTCAAGCAAAAGGGAAAGGCAGAAGAGGAATCTGCACGCCCTCTTGATGATTTCATACCATCTCTACGCAAGATCCGGAAACTGGCAGGTATGTTTTCTCACTGTTGACTGATTTCTCTCTTAAAATTGGTAATCTGCAGGTGCCTTGTGGCCAGAATTGTCGTTTAATTTTCATCTTTTAAATTTGGCCAGAATTGCTAGATATGCCTTTAAAATCCATTACAACAGATTGGGAAAGCGGAGAACTGTTCAGTTGTGGTTTTGCATTATCAGAGGTATAAATATTTGTTGGATTAAGTGATACGTTGTATACCTTTCTTTGGTTCTTTTTACTTTTGCTATATAATTATATTTTATGGTTTTAAATCAATTTTAAGTGTTCCTCTTCAGTGTGTTCCCAATGTCTTAACATTTTGGCAGGTACAAGATTTCATCAAAGCCATATTTGCGGATTCACCTTTAAGGGAAGAATGCTTATGGAGGATAGAAAACGTGAGCTTGTAAAATTTAGGAAAATTGTTTGCACCAGAAAGAAAGAGATGAAAATACCAACATTTTGCAGCACCGCAGGGGAGCTGATGCAGTTAACACTCCCACATTAACGAAAAGAGGCTGTTTTGGTGTATCTCCTTTGTGATGAAAACTTAATTTCTGTACTCATAATTTCCTTTTGTACATCCATCCTTTTCAATTAGAGAGGGAGAAATAGTCTGTTCATAGTTTTTTTTTTTTTTTGAAACCTCATGTACAACACATTTCTCCTCAGATAATTTATATGGTTAAATTAAGCATCGGCTAGACAGTAGACACCTTTGAATTTACTACCAGTGAGATGAGACAGATTTTGTAGATCTCTAGTCGAAATTTATGATTTTGGTAGAATTGAAGATGATGGATGAATTGGAAAGGTGTTAAAATAATGTGGAGGTGGCGGATTGATTTGGATGTATGCAAAATTTTGATTAATTTTGGAAATTGAGATAATCGGGTTGCTTATAAATCTTGTTTTGGAACCATGGGCTAAACCTTGCTTATTTGTTATTAATCTGACATTTTGCTTGATTCGTGATTTCCTTAATTTTAATTAATTTGGTGTATAATTTTGTTTAAAAAATTTCTGAATTTAAGACTTTACTTGATTTATGATTAATATAATATTTTTTAATTATTATTCTGGTAATATCTTGATTATTATTTTGTAAAAAAACCTCATGCAAAATCCAACGTCCAAGGGGCAAGTTTGTCATTGCATCATCTAAAACCAGTGTTGGATGGGGATTGTATTTCACAGAGGTATGGTATTGTAGTTGGGATGAGAAAATGTTTACGAGACAACTTCACTCCTTAAGTCGCGGCCATCTAATTCTAAAGAAAGCAATTCAGGGGGTACCATAACAAATAGAGTCACGAAGGGCCACCAAAATTATTAATAGCTAAGGGTGCTAGTACTGCTACTTCAATAGTTCAATAATTACCAATCATAACAAGAAATCTGTTTCATTAAATACAGTAACATTAAGAAGAAACAGACATTGCTGACAAGATCAAAATCGTCTTTAGCCTACATTCTCATTCCTTCCCGGACCTTTAGTTTTTCTGCTTAAAACTAATCACACTACTCAGGCAGCTTATTCTGCCATGAGTTCTTCAAGCGAAAATTCATCCTCTTCAATGATTTCCCCATCCTTACCGTCCCACGGTTCGGTTTTCACAATCACCAGGGTTCCGTCTAAAGGCATAATGCCCTTTCCACCACGCCCAGCTTCCTTGACAAACTCTCTGAAAATCAATTTGACAACATTCAGGGTTATGTCCCTCTTTTGGAAACTAGCATTCAAGACAAATCAGAAACACAAGACTTACATGATCTGCTCAAGCTCATATGCACTTTTCAGTGGAGTATAAACTCCTTTCTTCACATTCAAAGCTACCAGAGCTGGATAGCCATAGCCACCGACACCTACACGCTTTTCAAGATCTGGCTGCTTACCAGCAGCTGCCCAAACATAGCTGTCGAACATAAATTTTACAGTAACAATTAAAGGATTTTCATCTCATTCAGCAAAAAAGTTGTGTTTCTCCAAACATTTTAGTTTTCAAAGCATTTGAGGAATAAATAAACGTGATCTGAAATACGAAAAATCTAAGTCTAATATGCTTGCCTGTAAGGACTCCTCTTGAACTTCTCCGCAACTGCTAACATCATCTCAAGGTACTTATTTCTCCCATCAGCCTTGGAGTCCAAAATGTCAGGAAGGAAAGAAACAAAACAGATGGCTGCAGAGCCACACTTTTCTTCCATAACATCCTATATGAAAAGATTACAGTTTCATAAATCCATCATAAAACTTCCACAAGATATGCATTATCAATAAAAAAGAAAATGACATACTGGGCTAGTAAGCTCAGACACTTCAGGAGGTGCAACATTTGTTTCCAGCTGCTCTAGAGCAAATGATTCAATAGCTGAGGCAGTTCTAGCACCCTCGTACGGAATTGGGCTATCTTTGTCAGCACCGAACACCAAGATAGTGGGGAATCCTTGAACATTGAATTTGCTCATCAAAGACTGTTAAACACACTCCGTTAGACCACAGAGTTTAACCAGAAAATTAAAGGCATTCAATAAAGAGAATATAAAATTTTCCTTATTACTAGAGCTTTTGGCAAAGTCAATGTCTCATGAATGAGTTGAAAATAATAAAACCTACAAAAATATAGTCATAACCATCGTCTAATAGAAGATGGCATCCATATATTCCATCATCATTTTAAAGCAATAGGAAAGACTGCTGAGTTTAGAGGTCTTAACAAGAACTTAGTATGATCCTACTATAAAAGTAGAAACTCAGTGAGTCTAAATTCCTATGTAATGGCACATTACATAGGCAAAAAACATGTTATTCAGGAAACAAAGCATTTGATAGATCAGCTGAACAGGTTTCTGACTAGCAGAAAACACTGCAAGAACTTAAACAGAAATAATGTTTTAATATAATGCTAAATCAAGATGGTGATGAAATATCAACATCACCAAACTATAATATCTCTATGCTCAGGCAATTGTTAATAAATAAGATTCAACAGGAATAAAACCAAAATAAGTACCCAGGTTTATACCATTCTAAGTGAATCCCAACAATTCAATATTACCTTCTCAGACTCACAATCCACATGACCCAACTTCACTTTGCCCTTCAAGTTACGAGCAGCCTTCTTCCACTCAGGAGCCAGCTTTTTACAGTGTCCACACCTTGAGAAAAAGAATTTTAACAATTTTTATCACCAGTAACTAGAACAAGACCTTATGCACGAAGTGCTGAGATGACCTAAGATCAAAGCTAACTTACCAAGGTGCAAAAAACTCCACAATCCAAAGTTCTTTGCTTTTGAGCACCAACTCATCAAAATTGTGGGAATTCAATTCGACAGATGCATTAGGTTCAGATTTATCACTTGATCCTCCAGTTGTTTTTCCACCTAGACGTTCCCTCAAAAGTTCTTTTATCTGAAAAGAGCTAAATTATTAGAATGCATAAACTATCTTTCAACTCAGGCTGTAAACAGGAATGCACTGAAGTATATCGCCATCTATTGACCTTTGCAATGGCCCTTTAGGCTGTGCTCAAGCCAATAACCACACAATCGATAGGTGCCAGCCAATAAATTCATATATCATGAATACCATTTTAAATACAATACATCAATGATATTCCACTCATACCAGATACATTTTTATTATTTTTTAGTTCCTTTGTTAACAAATAGACATCAATTACAATTTTATTTATACATTTTTAACAATACCAAACTTTTTGAGTGATAATATGAAAAATTCATTTTGGAGTATTTAAATCAGCAAGTGATAAAAAAAACCTGCTGCAGTGCAAATTCTGCAATTGGTTTGACATCCCTAGCTGCTTGGTAATCTACTGGAGGCTTCCCTGGTACAAACACCTTTATGGTTGGAAATCCTCTGATCCCGTATTCCTGCAAAGCAATCAAACGTCATTGAGTTATCAGCAAAATACAATCCACACCTTAGTTAGGACATAAAAAGTAAACAAGCAGGAAAACATATGCTCAAGAGACAAAAACCGTGTCCATATGACATGCAATACGACAGCATCACAGTAGAGCAGAGAATCCACTCCTATTGCTTTCATGAAAATGAATATTCTTTTAGCAGTTTTTCAATGGTTCAGGATGAATAGTGTTGCCATGTCCAAGATAGCCAAGTTATCTCTCTTTCATTGCTTCTTCATTATTGCAGCCAAAATCTAGAATTATCAGTCATAATTAAATGTAACTTTGTTTTGTCTTCAGCTGATTACTGAGATTTAGACTTAAAACCCATCCCCATACTTAGGAGTGGAGTAATGCCCAAGAGCAACTTGCTTATTTGATACCAGTTTTATTGACTAAATTTTGGTATGCCCATCATTATCAACCAAACAAAGCACAGCAAAACTCCTATCTTGGTACAAATATATCAAACCCTCAATGCTAATTGTGCAAAGATGTACACATGAAAAAATGTTTTTCCATTGTCCAAGTCAATATGCAGATCATTTTTTGGTGATCGGAAGAAAGAAATGTGTATCTACTGTAATTATGAGGCCTTCAAATCATTAAAAAAAAAAAACCTGAGCAAGGGACTGGTGTGCATCGGCATCAAGAGCTGCCACAGTAGCAACACCTTTCAAGACACTTGCTGCTTTCTCCCATATAGGTGTCAGAGCTTTACAATGGCCACACCAAGGTGCAAAGAACTCAACCAGAACAACCCCATTGGAGTTCAGAACCTGCGACCATTGCAAAAATCTCAACATAAAACATCATATCTCAAAAAACTTAAAAGAATTAACATTCAGATTTTGTTGAAGAAAATTTAAAAAAGAAAAGAAAAAGAAAAATAGAATAAACATTAACATAAGTCTAACAATTTGAATCAGATGATTCAGATCTATGGTATAAGTACAATCACACAAGATTTCAAATTAGTATACAGTCTATAGAGTTTTACAATCTTAGCTAACACAACTAAATGGAAATTTATATAATTATTTTCTCTTAATATCCTCAAATTTTCGGGAGCCAAAGAGAAGATTGGTGGCGGTGCGATTAATCTACCTTGGACTTGAAGTTGGTAGGAGTGAGCTGAACTACCGGTGATGATGATCCGTACAATGCATAACTGAGATTGAACAACGTAAAGAAGGAAAATAAAATTGTTAAAAATACAAGCAATGGTGATCTGTTCATTTTCTATCACTTTCCCGCAAAATTGTTTGGTTTCGCTTAGCAGAAACCTCTCGTCGCAGAGGCGAGAAGAAAAACCCCTTGACTGCTGGAGTTACGTGTGCTCACCAATAAAAAACTTACACGTCAGCTGTCTGGTTTAGTTCCTAAAGGACTTTAAGATATGATCATAATTTTAGGAAAATTATAGTTGTAATAATATTAATTAATTTTTTTGCTAAAATTTGTGTAGAATTTTGTATCACATTAAAACAATTAAATAAAACTAACCATTTTTTTTTTGTACACCATATAAAACCTGTTAAATTTCCTTTTCCATTTTACTGGGATAAATAATAAATAATTAATAAGTAAAATTTCAAATTTAATTACAGTAACAATTAAATAAAACTAACCTTTTTCAACTGCAAATTCGAGAGCACATTTCGTCTATTGTCAACACCATATGTAACGGCAAATTTGGTAAACATTTTGGCCGATCTGCACTAGTATCTATCTATAATATAAAACTTACGTATCTCATTCTCATACCTTTTTATTTTCTTCCTTGTTTTTTCTACGTAAAGAATACTGCTGGGTTATGTTTTGTACCTGGAATTATCCAAAGCTTCATCTTTTAGTTTCTGCTTTTCCCATTCCATAACAAACTTATGCTTATCATACAAAACTACAAGTATGCAACAGTTTCTAAAGCCAATAAGACAAGGGCCATGACCTGGGCTTTTTAATTTTCATTCATAAATAACCCCACTAAAGCTCTCATATAATCCATGTGATCAAGCTAACTCTTCTTTATATAACTGCCCTTTGCATTGTAGGTGAACACCATCACCATTATAAGAAGGGTTGAGAGAATGAAGAAGATCGTCATGTATGGTAAGAAGTTGAAGAAATTATTGAAGCATTCTTGTAAGAGTTCTGATCAAGCAATTTGTTCAGTTTCATCACCTCCGGTTGCTGTTCATTGTGAGGAGCTCTTCTTGTCATCAGTTGGGAAAAAAAATGGTTCTTCCAAAGAGAATGATATGGATCCATTTGTAGCAGCTAATATTGCAGCCCTAAATTACTTCACTCTTAGGCCAAACATATATGTTTGAGAAAGAGATTGATGTCTTGTTCATGTTGGAGTTGTACTTTTTTTATATTAATCCCAAACTATCTTTACAGGAATTTTAGTTTTATGCAATCACACAAACCATTTTTCTGTAGTGGATTTTTTATATGTATAAGCATAACACTTGTATTGTAAGCATGTTCAACCTAAATAGAATCATGGTTTGGGTCAGTTTGTGCGCATCTCAACTAATTTCTGGAGTCTATTGAACACCTTACAAACCCAAAAGATTAAATAAACCACAATATTATTATGGTATGTGACATCAAGATTTAAACCCAAAAACTCAAGAAATGAAGCAAATCTCCTTGACTAGCATATCAACCCCTCGGGATTGATTCCTGGTACATTGCCTCAACAAAATCAAGAAAGTAACCCAATTCTACAATATAACTTTTCCATGAGTGAAAATTTGACGAGTAGATAATATTATTATAGTTTACTAATTCTTCTATAGGTAAAAAAAGAAAGAGAGTTCTCAATTTCAGTTCGCCCTAGAAAAGGCCATTAGAGGTTTGTATACACGTTGGTTAGCATTGATGCCAAAAACAAAATCCATATGAGCATAGTTTTTGATGTATCGTACCACCAGCTTCTTGGTGTGGTGATCTTTGAGATTGTCAAGCAACAGCTTCACATCCTCTACATCGGAAAGCAAGTCATTCCCACCATAGCTCAGGAAAAGAGGAAAGTGGGAATATTTGCCATGTCGTGCACTGGAGTAAATATTTTGACAGATGAACACTCATCGTATGTCATTCTTCTGTTATTATTGGCTTAACAGTTCAGAGACTTTACTCTGAGCCATGTGAATCATGTTTTTTGTAGATGTTGACTGAAGTTTATGATGAAGAAAAGCACCTGCCGAAGAGGAATTTAGGCAGCAATTTCGGCCTATGAACACAAACAATATTGGTCAAATAGTTGTTTAGGAAAGAAAATTTTCAATTTCTAGGTTCTAATAAGCAAGCCTGGGATATTGAAAGCGTCAACCTGTGAAAGCAGTCATCAAGTCAGAGCAATTGTGGCCCGGCTGATTGCAATAATAATCTAGAAGTTCCGCTGCAGGCTTCCTGTTCTCCTAAAAAAGAAACTATTACAAGGGAATTTGTGCTCTTTAATGGATATGAAAGCATTCTATGTTAAAAGGGAAACACCAGTAATGTTAATTGGTATACTTGTCCTCGGCATTGTTTAGTTGGGAATTCCATATTATTTTCTGAGTGACTTTTATGGTTTCCAGGAAATCATGGGAAAAAAACTAAATGAATTAATGAAAAAATTACTAATCGATCGCATATGGATGATGCTAGTTGAAAAAAACTGCCTCAACTTACGCACTTGGAGAAAATTCATGAAGACCTAACCAGTATATCTTCTGTTAGAAGAATAAACAGAGCATATTGTTGGAAAATATCAGTTTTTAATCAAATTAAGAATGAAATGGGATTCATTTGTCATCTTACTTCGGCTAAAAAAATTTGACAAGAAAATCTTGCAATCGGTGATTTCATGTGACCCAGATGAGCAATTGGAGTAAGCAAAGCAGCTGATCTTATCTTCTTCAACAGCCTATGATCGGAAAAGGCAGCCAAAGCAATCAAAGTTCCCTACAATTCAAGGTTTCTCTCTGATTAATTATTTCCTCCTCAAAATCACAAAAGTAAATGAAAAATAAAGTTCCCAATAATTGTGGAAACAACAAGGTGCAGATATTCACCATAGAATGTCCAACATAGTGCAGTTTCTTTCCTGTTTTATGGTACACAAATTTGACGAAAGCAGTAAGATCATACGCCATTACTTCATCCCATGACCAGTTCCAGTAAGCCTGCGAAGATACAGAAAACCAAAATTCTTAAGTCATAAAGATTTGACGGATCAAGGTCTGATGGTTTTGCATGCAAACAAAGAGAAAAACAGATAAACGAAAGAGAAACTGAAGACTGCAATAATGCTCTGTTTTTTATTCAAAAAACAGGGGTAAAATATACAATGCAAACGTTACTGTTTCAACTAATAACATTTCAAAATTCAAATTTAAACTTACTCCACCTACTAATACACGTACAAGCAAGTGAGAAACTACGCTTAACCAAACCTAAAACACCTGAACATGTCACTGAATCAATCCAACACAGTGACCAAAAAACTGCTTCTGCATGAATTACGGGAGATCAACAGTCCATGTTGTAAGAAAACCGGTGGCTTTCGTGCTGCCTGACCAGACCGCTTATTCCGCATCCTCTGCATACTAAGAATATAACCATCTTTTGTTGTTACCTGAGCCATCAAAAGTATTGCTTTACTTACAATGATTCATGCAAGTGAATTGTTAACACAACAATATAGAAAGCAGAGTAAGTGGTACCCTGTGCTCATGGCATATATAGCCTCGTGGCTTCACCATTGTTTTGCAAATACCACCCTGAGCATGTGGGGAAGATGCAAATTTGCCTTCCTTACCATTGATTGGGTAAAGCTTTGTTCTTGTTGCAGCAGCGACCGACACATAGATCAATACTATCACTAGAATCAAAGTGGTTGTAGTGTCGACCATTATTAACTTCAGTTATTAGCAACTGCAACAACTTCCAATTTTCCAGCATTTTTACAGTAGACAAAGTCGAAATGCAAACAGAAGTGAATNAAATAAAGTTCCCAATAATTGTGGAAACAACAAGGTGCAGATATTCACCATAGAATGTCCAACATAGTGCAGTTTCTTTCCTGTTTTATGGTACACAAACTTGACGAAAGCAGTAAGATCATACGCCATTACTTCATCCCATGACCAGTTCCAGTAAGCCTGCGAAGATACAGAAAACCAAAATTCTTAAGTCATAAAGATTTGACGGATCAAGGTCTGATGGTTTTGCATGCAAACAAAGAGAAAAACAGATAAACGAAAGAGAAACTGAAGACTGCAATAATGCTCTGTTTTTTATTCAAAAAACAGGGGTAAAATATACAATGCAAACGTTACTGTTTCAACTAATAACATTTCAAAATTCAAATTTAAACTTACTCCACCTACTAATACACGTACAAGCAAGTGAGAAACTACGCTTAACCAAACCTAAAACACCTGAACATGTCACTGAATCAATCCAACACAGTGACCAAAAAACTGCTTCTGCATGAATTACGGGAGATCAACAGTCCATGTTGTAAGAAAACCGGTGGCTTTCGTGCTGCCTGACCAGACCGCTTATTCCGCATCCTCTGCATACTAAGAATATAACCATCTTTTGTTGTTACCTGAGCCATCAAAAGTATTGCTTTACTTACAATGATTCATGCAAGTGAATTGTTAACACAACAATATAGAAAGCAGAGTAAGTGGTACCCTGTGCTCATGGCATATATAGCCTCGTGGCTTCACCATTGTTTTGCAAATACCACCCTTAGCATGTGGGGAAGATGCAAATTTGCCTTCCTTACCATTGATTGGGTAAAGCTTTGTTCTTGTTGCAGCAGCGACCGACACATAGATCAATACTATCACTAGAATCAAAGTGGTTGTAGTGTCGACCATTATTAACTTCAGTTATTAGCAACTGCAACAACTTCCAATTTTCCTGCACTTTTAGAGTAGACAAAGTCGAAATGCAAACAGAAGTGAATCATATGTCAATTAATTTACATAATTGATCAAATCAAATATGTCAGGTAGGGTCGTATACTCTTATTTTATTCCATCATTAACAATCACATATTTGAGCTTCAAATACTTTACTAACTTGATTTCTTCTTCAAGATAACAAATAATAACATGTTTATACAGACGACAGAAAAAGCTAATGCAAAAACAAAGCTGAGACAAAACTCCTCTTCAAGACAAACTATGAGTGAGTTTGATGAATGAACATAAAGTGGTTAATTAGATAGACTTGTGATAGAGATGGTGATACCTGTTCATGGGGATAATAAATGGGAACATCAATTATTTGTGGCTGAATCAAAATCTGGTCTAGATAACCACCTGGCCAAGATTGAAATTAAATACCGAGTTGAGCATGCGAGAAATGCGCTTTCTGTGACACAATAACGTGATATTCTTAAACTCCAAAAACATGTTCAATTAGTTCAGTTAAACCTTCAATGATACAAATGAACGTAATTGCAGCCCTCACACCCTAATGCAAAAATTATCTTTTGGATACTATTTATATTATGTGTCCGACAGATATTTTGCTGCTTGTCTTTTGATGCACGGTACGTCTCAACAGAATGAAGAAATTAAACTAACTTGAAACATAGCTTTTCCATTACTGAAAATTTGACAATTAGATAATATTATTACAGTTTACTAATTATTCCATGGGTAAAAGACAGATTTCTCAAGTTCAGTTCCAGCTGAAGAAGGCCATCATAGGATCATATACAACTGGATTAGCGTTGATGCCAAAAACAAAATCAAAATGAACATGTATTGTACCACCAGCTTCTTGGGATTGTGATTTTTGAGGTTTTGTAGCAAAAGCTTCACATCATTTACATCCGAAAGCGAGTCCTTCCCACCATAGCCAAAATAAAAAAACTTACTTTCTTGGAGATAATTCACGAAGACCTAACCAGTACCATTCCTGTAAGAAGAATATATAGACCATATTGTCGGAAGAATAAAACTCGAAATACTTCGTCTAAAATAGTAGCAGTTCTTCCAAGAGGTGATGTCATGTGACCCAGATGAGCAATTGGACAAAGCAAAGCAGCTGATCGTATCTTGTCCAACAGCTTATTTTTGGAAAACGAAGCTAGAGCCATCAAAGTTCCCTACAATTCAAGGTTTCTCTCTCATTAATTATTTCCTTCTCAAAATCCCTTAAGTAAACGAATTTAATAAAGTTCTCAACAGTACTGGAAGCAACAATGAGCAGAGATTCACCAAGGAATGTCCAACATAGTGCAGTTTATTTCCTGTATTATAGTGCACAAATTGGACAAAAGCAGTAAGATCATACGCCATCAATTCATCCCATGACCATTCCCAGTATGCCTGCGAAGATACAAAGACCAAATTCTTAGTCAAAATGATTTGATTAAGGAGTCATAAAACTGTAGAAATATGAAGAGAACCTGATCTATGGGTGTAAGTGACTCGTGTTTTTTGCTGTATTTAGTCCCACGAGTGTTGGCAATCCACACATCGTAGCCATTATCTGCCAAAATAGATGCCAAAGATTCCTTTGGGGAATTTAGTAGCCATGTTACGCCATCCTGCCACCACAATTTCCAACAATTCATTGATCTTACGGACCTATATATTCAATAAAACTACAGGGTAGCTAACAAACATGAGCCCATGTTGTAACAAAACTGGTGGATTCTTTGCTGAAGCAATATTTTGGATTCAAATGGAGTGTGTTCTGGCGGCAAAAGAAGAAGGCTGAAGTTTGAAAGTTGGTCTGGAGCAGTTCACGTAGCTGATCTGTAGGGATGCTGAAGTGATGCTTTTGGTGAATTCAGCTTGTATTTAGGTTGTCAACTTGTATCTAATTAATGTGATGTAATCAGAGTTGCTAAGAATGTGTGTTAGGATGTCATTTGGACTAAAATATGTTTTATGGTTAGGGTGCAATAGTGTCTGTCAGGTATAAAACTTCTGCTGTAACTTTCAGTTTAAACTAAGGCAAATATCACGGCTCTTTTCTCTTACTAGTTCATCATCCTTTTCTCTCCCGTAAGACCATATTCATGCTCATAAAACCAACAAGTGGTATCACAGCAATACCTTGATCTTAAGGGGCCTGCAAAACCTCCAGTTTTACATACTCTCTGTTAGTCCTTATCTCACCGAAGATAGACTTCATGGCAACAAGTTCAGCCTCACTCTTGCCTCCAACCTTCAATGGGGAATAGTATCATATGTGGGCTGTTAAGATGAAGGCCTACTTGAGAGGTCAGAGTTTATGGCAGTATGTAGATGAAGAGAAACAGCCACCACAGTTGGGACCAAACCCAACCCTGAACCAGATAAGACTCCATGAAGAGGAGACTGCAAAAGCTCCAAGAGCCCTGTCCCATTTACATGCTGTAGTCATCGATCAAGTTTTCACAAGGATAATGGCTTGTGAGACAGCAAAGCAAACTTGGGACAAGCTTAAGGAAGAATTTGGAGGAAGCACCCAAACCAGAAACATGCAAGTTTTGAACCTAAGGAGAGAGTTTGAGACATTGAAAATGCAAGAGGCTGAAATGGTTAAAGAGTATGTAGATAGACTAATGAATGTGGTTAACAAGATAAGATTGTTAGGGGAAGAGATAAGTGATAAGAGAATTGTTGAAAAGGTGTTAGTAAGCCTACCCGAGAGGTTTGAATCAAAAATTTCTTCTTTGGAGGATTCCAAAGACTTGTCTCGAATCACCTTAACCGAACTTGTCCATGCTCTTCAAGCCCTAGAGCAAAGAAGAAAACTGAGGCAAGAGGATAGTGGTGAAGCTGCATTGTTTGTCCAGCAGAAGAGCAAGCCAACTCAAGGAGGAAACAAGAAGTTTGGAGGAGAAAAAAGAGGAAAAGAGAGAGTAAACAATCAGTGGAACAAACCAGCAGGTTTTCGGAGTTTTGCACCATGTTCCCACTGTAAAAAGAAGAACCATGCTGAGTACAAGTGCTGGTTCAGACCAAATGTTCAATGCAGGGCATGCAAGCAGCTAGGTCACATTGAAAAGGTTTGCAAAAACAAACAACAACAACCTGCACAGCAAGCACAGACTGTTGAAGATTTGCAGCAGAATTCTGAATCTGAGCAGCTATTTGTGTCATCCTGCTATGTTGTTCAGTTCAATGCTGGAACTTGGCTCATTGATAGTGGATGTACAGACCACATGATGCCTGATCTGGAGAATTTTGTGAAATTGGATCAAGCATATCAGTCAAGTGTAAAGGTGGGAAATGGTGAACTTGTGAAAGTTAAAGGCAGGGGAAATGTGGTTGTGCAGACCATGACAGGTACAAAGATTATTTACAATGTATTATTTGTTCCTGAAATCAACCAAAATCTACTTAGTGTAGGACAAATGCTTGAAAGAAATTATATTCTGCATTTTGAAAATAAAACCTGCACTATATTAGATGATGAGGGAAAAGAGATGATGCATGTAAAAATGGTTGGGAAAAGCTTCCCGGTTGAACTTAAAAAACCAGAGTTTCATGCTATGACAGCAAATTCAGATGATACAGACCTACGGCATAAAATATATGGTCATTACCATTATGCTGGACTTAAGCAAATGAAGCTTAAAGGGATGGTACACACCTTACCCGAAATGGAAGAGAAAGAGAGCTTATGTAAAGTATGCCAAATAGGGAAGCTTAGTAGACCAGCCTTTCCTACAAACCAAGCCTGGAGAGCTACTGGAAAGCTCCAATTGGTGCACACTAATGTGTGTGGACCAATGCAGACCACATCCCAAAATGGATCCAAATTTTTCATCTTGTTTATTAATGATCATTCAAGAATGACTTGGGTGTACTTCCTAAAACAAAAAGGAGAAGTGGCTGCTGTGTTTAAGAGGTTCAAAGCTAAAGTTGAAAACCAAGCTGGAGTAAAGATTAAGGCTGTGAGAAGTGATAATGGAGGTGAATACACCTCAAATGAGTTTGAATCAACATGCAGGGAGGCTGGAATATGGCATCAGTTTAGTTGTCCCTATACTCCTCAACAAAATGGAGTAAGTGAGAGAAAAAATATGACAGTAATGGAGATGTCCAAGTGTTTGCTGACTGAAAAGGAGCTGCCGAAGGAGTTACGGGCAGAATCTGTCAATACTAGTGTGTATTTGCTGAATAGGCTTCCAACCAAAGCTTTAGAGGATCAAACTCCATTTGAAGCATGGTATGGAGTTAAGCCTCAAGTGGATCATCTAAGAGTATTTGGGAGTATATGCTATGTACTCATACCAGCCATCAAAAGGTCAAGGCTGGATGACAAAGCAAGGGCTGGAATTCTGGTAGGTTACAGCCTCCAATCCAAGGCTTACCGAATCTTCATTCCAGAGTCAAGAAAAGTAGTTGTTTCAAGGGATGTAAAGGTTGATGAGAGGTCAGTGTGGAATTGAGAAGAGAAGAAAATTCAAGTAGATCCAAAGCCACAGCAAAGAGAACAAACTGCTGACCAAACTAAAGGGGCAGATTCTGAAACAGAAGAAGAAATTTCAGTCAGGGGAACTAGACCTCTTGCTGAGATTTATGGGAGATGCAATGTTGCATTGCTTGAACCAACATCTTATCATGAGGCAACTAAGTCAAAGGATGGAGACTTGCTATGCAGGAGGAGTTGTCCATGATAGAAAAGAATGGAACATGGGAACTTGTGGACAGGCCTACCGGGAGGAAAGTGATCCAAGTGAAGTGGATCTTCAAGAAAAAACTGAATCCTGATGGTTCATTTTTGAAGCACAAAGCCAGGTTAGTTGTGAAAGGGTTTGCACAACAATATGGTGTGGATTTCCAAGATACATTTGCCCCGGTTGCAAGACATGATACAATCAGGTTAGTTCTAGCTTTGGCAGCCCAATTTAAATGGAAAGTGTATCAAATGGATGTTAAGTCAGCTTTCTTGAATGGTTGGTTGGATGAGGAGATCTTTGTTGAACAACCTGATGGATATGAAGTCAAGGGGAAAGAAGATCAGGTGTACTTACTGAAAAAGGCCTTGTATGGCCTGAAACAAGCTCCAAGAGCTTGGTACAGCAGAATCAATGACTACCTAGTCAGTCTTGGTTATGCAAGAAGCCCCAATGAGCATACTTTATATGTAAAAAGGGACAATGAAGATGTGATTATGGTTTCCTTGTATGTGGATGATTTGTTGGTGACTGGAAACAATGGAATTCAGGTTGAAGAGTTCAAGAAAGCAATGCACAAAGAGTTTGAGATGACTGATTTGCGAGCGATGACTTACTTCTTTGGAATGGAAATCCATCAATCTCAAGATAACATTTTCATTTGTCAAAGGAGATATGCAAATGAGATGCTTAAGAAATTTGGAATGGATGAATGCAAGTCAGTTGCCACACCTTTGGTGCAAAATCAAAGGCTATGCAAAGATGATGGAGTAGCCTCGGTAGATGAGACAGATTATAGGAGAATGATTGGGAGCTTGTTGTACCTAACAACAACAAGGCCTAAGCTGATGTTTATAATTAGTCTCCTATCAAGATTTATGAGCAAACCAAGTGAGAAGCATCTTAAAGCAGCCAAGAGGGTGCTGAGATTCATTAGAGGAACTGCAGATCATGGAATCTGGTTCAGGGAATCTGAAAATTTTAGACTGATAGGGTATGCAGACAGTGATTGAGGAGGTTCCTGTGATGATATGCGAAGCACATCAGGGTATGTATTCCTACTGAATTATGGTGCATTTTGTTGGTCTTCCAAGAAGCAAGAAGTAGTGGCACAATCCACTACAGAGGCTGAATACATATCAGCTGCAGCTGCAGTAAATCAAGCTATTTGGTTGAGAAATTTGCTGGCTGATATGGAGGTAAAGCAGTGTGAGCCTACTGAAATTTTCTGTGATAATCAATCGGCTGTTGCAATGGCTAAGAATCCAGTCATGCATGGTCGAACTAAGCACATAAAAATTAAGTTTCATGCAGTGAGGGAGGCTGAGCAATCCGGAGAAATCAGATTGACACACTGCAGGGGGGAAATGCAATTGTCTGACATATTTACTAAGTCCCTATGTAGGTCCAAGTTTGTAGACATGAAGCTTAAACTTGGTGTCTCAAGCAAAAATATCAAGGAGGAGTATTCAAATGAGTGATATTTTGCTTGAAACAATATTTTGGATTCAACTGGAGTTGTGTTCTGGCGGCAAAAGAAGAAGGCTGAAGTTTGAAAGCTGGTCTGGAGCAGTTCACGTAGCTGATCTGTAGGGATGCTGAAGTGATGCTTTTTGGTGAATTCAGCTTGTATTTAGGTTGTCAACTTTGTATCTAATTAATGTGATGTAATCAGAGTTGCTAAGAATGTGTGGTTAGGATGTCATTTTGGACTAAAATATGTTTTATGGTTAGGTGCAATAGTGTCTGTCATGTATAAACTTCTGCTGTAACTTTCAGTTTAAACTAAGGCAAATATCACAGCTCTTTTCTCTTACTAGTTCATCATCCTTTTCTCTCCCGTAAGACCATATTCATGCTCATAAAACCAACAGATTCTTTGCTGGCTGACCAGAATGCGCAGTCGGCATCCTTTGCAAACTAAGAATATAACCATCTTTGGTTGTTACGTGAAAGCCATCAAAATTATTGTTTTACTGACAGTTATTTCATTGAATTATTAAATACAAAAATATAAAAAGGATAGAATAAGTAGTACCGTGTGCTCGTGGCATATGTAGCCTTGTAGCTCCACCAATGTTTTGCAAATACCATCCTTAGTAGGTGGAGAAGATGCGAATTGTCCTTCCTTACCATTGATAGAGTGAAGCTTTGTTCTTGCTGCAGCAGCAACCCACACAGAGAATACTATCATTGCTAGGATCAAAGTAACTGTTGTGTTGACCATTTTTAACTTCAGTTATTAACAATTTCCAATTTTCCTGTATTTTTACGTTTTACAGTAGACATAGTCCACGTAAAAATTAGCAGAGTAGAGCCGTAAGTCTTAATTAATTAACATAACTGACTAAACAAAAGATGTCATACAGACGACAATTACCTATTTGAGCTTCCAATTCTTTTGCTGCCACGATTTCTTCTTCTTGAATAGAAATAATAAAATGTTAATACAGACGACAGAAATGGCTAATGCAAATTAAAAAGGCTGAAACAAGAGTCGTACTATAGACAAAGTCTGAATGAATTGCATAGATGATGAACTGTTAGATAAGGACTTGTGTGGACGGACAGAATGAGGTTCCTAGATAATAAACTGATTGGCTGAGGATTTAAGAGGTTAGGTCGGGCTAGTTTTATAAATTAAGATGAAAATACCCTTAATAAATAAAAATGTAATTATAATCCTATTCTTCATTAAATTTCACTCAATTACAACCAACACTCATCCAATTATCACCCATCTCACGATTTTTCCAATTCACACAACTATTTTTGTTTGTAAGTATTATTTGTAAAAATAAAAAATAAAAAATCATTTTATTTACAAAGTTAATGCTCACTTTAGTTTATTACAATTCATAGTTTAATAAAAAAAAAATAAGTGCATATATAATGGATATGGCATGAAGGTTTCCCTACTTTAATTGTTCTATTTAAAGTGTAATTAAAAAATGTAAATAAGGATTTATTTGAATGTTGTTATGGTTACCTTATTAACCTCTTAAAGATTGGGGTGCGGTAATTTTACTTTCTTCAGTTCTTGTTATAGTCTGAAGTAGCTTTGATTCTAAGGTACTGAGACATTCAATTTAAATGGGCCAGATGCTAGGCTAAACCGCTGTCGAATATACACTTTTCAATGTAATGACATATTGAACTCTTTTAATACCTACGAGTTAGCAGTAAAAATCTAGTAATATAACTGCCGAAAGGATGGGTGTAATTACACAGATCATCATTTTCAAGGAAGAGATTATAAGACATGGCATATCTTATTCCGTTAATGAGATAATTACACAATATGAGTGAAAATCTGAAACTAGATAGTATTATTATAGTTTACTAATTCATCTACAGGTCGAAAACAGAATTCTCAAATTCAGTTCAGGTTAAGAAAGGCCATTAGAGGATTGTATACAAGTTGATTAGCATTGAAGCCAAAAACAAAATCAGCATGAGCATAGTTGTTTATGTATTGTACAACCAACTTATTGGCGTTGTGATTTTTGAGGTTTTGTAGCAAAAGCTTCACATCATCTGTATCCGAAAGCAAGTCCTTCCCACCATAGCTCATGAAAAGAGGAAAGTCATTTGGAATACTTGTCACGTTGTACAGTGGAGGAGTACTTTGTCCATAGTGATTCATGTTTTCAACTGCACCATAGTCATACATGGCTATTGTTCCCGTTCTAATCACTGTCAGAATACCAGAACCACCCATATAATTTCAAAGGATGATCACTCATAATATGATAATATTATTGGCTCAAAAGTTGGAAGAGACTTACTCTGAGCCAGGTGGATAATGTTTTTTGTGGCAGTTGGCTGAGGTTCATGTTTAAGAAACGTATCTGCTGTTGAGGAATTTAGGCAGCAATTTTGGCCTATCAACACAAAAAATTTTGCTCAATGGTTGTGTAGGAAATTAAATTTTCAATATCTAGGTTGTGATAAGCAAGCCTGGGACGGTGAAAGAAGAAACCTGTGAAATAAATCATCAAGTCAGAGCAGTTGATGCCTGGCTGAGAGCAGAAATATTCTAGAAGTTGGACTGCAGGCTTACTGTTCACATAGAAATGAAAAACTATAAAGAACTGAAGAGATTAACATGGATTTTGGAACAAAGTTCACCAAGTGAGAGAATTGGGGCATTGTTTTGTTGACAATTCCATAATATTTTCCGAGTGGCTCTAATATAGTTACCATGAAAAAAATACCTAGTTATCGACTGCACATGCATGATGCTAGTTGAAAAAAAAAAATGCGTAAACTTACGCTCTTGGAGAAAATTCATGAAGGCCTAACCAGTACATGTCCTGTTATAAAGACCATACAGTTTGAAAATATCAGTTTTTAATCCAATATAGAATGAAACCTGAAATAATAGAAATTCAATTATCGTCTTACTTCCGCTAAAAAAATTTCAGAAACAGTTCTTGCAAGAGGTGATAACACGTGAGCCAAGTGAGCAATTGGACTTAGCAAAGCAGCTGATCTAATCTTGTTCAACAGCTTATTTTCGGAAAAGGAAGCAAAAGCCATCAAAGTTCCCTACAATCCAAGGTTTCTCTATTAGTAATTATGTTCTGAAAATCTCTTGAGTTAAATAAGTAGAGTTCCCAACAACACTGGAAGCAACAATGTGCAGATATTCACCAATGAATGTCCAGCATAGTGCAGTTTCTTTCCTGTATTGTTGTACACAAATTGGACAAAAGAAGTAAGATCATACGTCACCAATTCATCCCATGACCATTCCCAGTAAGCCTGCGAAGATACAAAGAACCAATTTTTTAGTCAAAAAGATGTGATGAAGGACAATAATTTGTAAAAATATGAGGAGAACCTGATCGCTGGGAGAAAGTGACTCGTGTTTGCTGCTGTATTTAGTCCCACGAGTGTTGGCAATCCACACGTCATAGCCATTATCTGCCAAAATGAATGCCAAAGATTCGGTTGGGGAATTTAGCAGCCATGTTATGCCATCCTGCCACCATAATTGCCCATCCAATGTTAACAATTTATTGATCTTACAACGTATTCAATAAAATGCTTCTGGGTAACTAACCATCATGAGCCCATGTTGTAACAAAACGGGTGGATTCTTTGCTGACTGACCAGACCGCGAATTCGGCATCCTCTGCATACTAAGAATATAACCATCTTTGGTTGTTACCTGAAAGCCATCAAAAGTGTTGTTTTATTGACAATTATTCATCAAAGTGATTATTAAATACAGCAATATTGGTAGCATAGAGTAAAATAGTACCGTGTGCTCATGGCATATATAGCCTCGTGGCTCCACCATTGTTTTGCAAATGCCATCGTCAGTAGGTGGGGAAGATGCAAATTGTCCTTCCTTACCATTGATAGAGTGAAGCTTTGTTCTTGCTGCAGCAGCAACCCACACAGAGAATACTATCATTGCTAGGATCAAAGTGGTCTTTTTGTTGACCATTTTTAACTTCAGTTATTAGCAATTGCAGCAACTTCAAATTTTCCTGCATTTTTATAGTGGACATAGTCCGCATACAAACAGAAGAGAGCATGACATAATTAATATTAAATAGCTACTATTCTATTTTATCAGTGACAGTTACCTATTTGAGCTTCAAATTTTCTTTGCTGCCACGATTTCTTCTTCAAGATTACAAATAATTAATTCTTGATAGAGACGGCAAAAAAGGCTAACGCAAATAAAGTTGAGACAAAACGCCTCCTACAAACTACGAGTGAGTTGCTTAGACGATGAAGTGGTTAGACAAAGATTTGTGATAGAGATGTTGATACATGTTTCATGAGGACACTATTTATCTATAGTCTCACTCGTCTGCTTAGTTAGTAGCGTGTAAGAATTTTTGTTTGATGGTTGAATAGAAATCTGGTCAGGGACTCAAGATAACCACCTGGTCAGATTGTAAGTACTCGATTAAGCATGTGAGAAATGCCTACAGCTCACAGCGGAATGCAAAATTATAGCCTAAGCTTGATTTAAGAAAAGTAGTAATTGCAGCTTCATTTTCGTAGATAACAACCTTCTTCAATCATCACAGTCAGACTACTAATACATTTTAAATATCTTCACAAATATATAGATTAATTTTGAGAAACAGGGTAAACCCCTGTTGCATAATAATGAATTCTTCAATGTACTGTTGGCATATTGATCTCAACACCTACGAGTTACCATTATATTCCTAGTAAAAACAAAAAGCAAAAAAAACTCCCCAAAGGATGGGTATAATGACACGGAATATCTTTTTCAACCAGGATTATGAGACACGGAACATCCATATGAACTTATCCTTTTCTTTATTTAATAATGTGCAAATCACATCAATTATAGAATCGTTTTGTCATTCGTATGATGGGCCCTCAAGACCACTTAGGGGCACTAAAATTTGAATTTTTTTTCAATTTTTACCGGACTTTTAATTGCATTACAATGGTGTTCTGTTTGTGCCCTCTTTATAAAACTTAATATCCTTTTTTTTTTTTTTTAAGATGATTAAAAAAATATGGTTCAGATATTATATTTTAAGACCCCTCTCACAAAATTTCTACATCCACCATCGGATGTTAACAAAACCAAAAAAATCTTCAATGTATAACTAAAATTGAATTTGGTTCTCTTGTACTAACAATTGAGAGGAATTTGACAATCAGGGAAGTGGTAGAAAGAAATTTTGACAACTTACAGGTATTCAACATGGAAAAAGAAAACGATTCTCATACTTCTCCATTTTTTTTCCCTGGAATTTACATTTTTCATTGCAGCTTGAAGAAAGCCATGAGAGGATTATATACTAGTTGCTTAGCATTATCACCCATAACATAGTCAGCGTGAGCATAATCTTCTCTGTACTGAATCACAAGTTTATCTCCATCATGATCTTTGAGGCTATCCAGCAAGAGCTTCACATCATTGACATCAGAAAGAGCATCTGCCCCGCCATAACCCAGGAAGAGAGGAAGATCACTTGGAATGTTTGTCATGTTGTACACTGGCGGATTTGGCTGCCCATAGTGTTTCCTGTTCTCTTCCTCATCCTCATAATTGTACATTGTTATGGTTCTGTCTCTGATCACTGTCCAAAAATGCCACACTTGAAAATTCTTCAAACGATTCATTAATGCCTAATTGCTTAGGCTAGCTCTCAGCTCATTATCTTAGAAGAGCATAATATTAATCTAATATTGGGCTGTGATGCCCCTCCTTATCTTTTCAGTTGTATTAGTTAAGTATATGGCATTACAAATGACTTACTCTGGGATATATGGATCATGTTCTTTGTTGCAGTTGCCTGAGGCTCATGGTCAAGAAATACATCTACTATGGAAGAATTTAGGCAACAGTTTTTGCCTATAAAGAGTTGCAACATTTCCAAAGTCAGTAATTTAAGTTTAAATATTTATCAAAATGAAATAAGGAACTAACCAAATAGGTGCATTTATACTACCTGTGAAAGAGTTCAATAAGTTGGTACAGTCGACCCCTGGTTTGTTGCAGATATCCTTAAGAAGATTGACCACAGCCTCCCTGTTCAAGTATAGAAACAAAGAAAAAGAAAGGAAAAACAATGTCATGGATATGAGGAAATATAGACAAACTAATTCAAAATGGAAATAATTGAATTTAATCTTATTAAATGCATTGTGGCCTGCTGCTTTGTTATCTGCATGTGTCTACTGAATTAGATCCCACGCTTGATGCATCACTGTTAGAGGAAAAGTAAGGAAAGGGAATTGATATTCTACCCTCTTGGATCAAATTCATCAACGCCTAGCCAGTATAGTGTCTGTGAAAGGAAGATACAAAGATGTCAAAAAGTTTATACTGTTGAATTAACTAAGATAGGAATAATAATATAATATTTCACCTCAGCGAGGAAGTCCTCAGCGGCATATCTAGCAAGAGGAGAGGTCAATTGGCCGACATAGGCAATCGGACTAAGTAAGGCAGCTGATCTTAACATGTTCACCAGCTGATTTTTAGAAAAAGATGCCAGAGCAATCAAAGTTCCCTGGATAACAATTTCAAATTTATTTGTCCCTCTGTTGTTTGTTAACAGAACTTCAAAAAAAGTGAAGCTTTGAATTGTGAAAATCACCAGTGAATGTCCAACATAATGTAGTTTCTGCCCTGTTTGATCGTGCACATGTTGGAATGTAGCAGGAAGATCATAAGCTGCCAATTCATCCCATGACCAGAGCCAGTAGGCCTAAAACAACCCTCTCAAAGATATAGCATCGAAAAAAAAAAGCAAACTTTCAGCGGACAAATACTAAACATACCGAGTCATTAGGACTGAGTGATACGTGGCCGAGGCTGTATTTGGTTCCTCGTGTATTGGCAAGCCAAACATCATATCCATTATCCGCTAAGAGGAATGCCAAAGATTGTTCTGGCGGCAAAAGCAGCCATGTTATTGCATCCTGCCACCACAATCATAAATAGCTTGTATTTCCCTCAACAATATTATAAAAACTTGTCAACCCAACTTGTGATTATTAAAACTAGCCAGGATTTACTAACCATTAAGAGCCCGTGCTGCAACAGAACCGGTGGCTTGTTTCCTGGTGTCCTACCTGACCGCCCTGATGGAATTCTCTGCATGCTGAGAATATAACCATCTTCAGTAGTTACCTGAAAACAACATTAATTAATTTACTTATTCAGTAGTGAAGTGATTGAATTTGGGCATGTTATTACCGTATGTTCTTCACAAGCATAGTTTTGTGTCTCAACCATTGATGCGCAAATACCATCAGTGGCTGCTGTTTCCAATGCAGTCTTGTCATCGTGACTTTCTGCTGAAAACACATTTGTTCTTGTTCCAACAACTGACCCACAGACAAGAACAAATACAATTATAGAGAATAAACAACTGTTGGCCATCTTTTCTTTTCTTTTTTTGTTGTTTCCAACTTTAACAACATACAACGTTGTCCCACTTTTTATAGTAGAAAAAGAAACATGTAAAAACAGAAAAGAGTATTCACATGACATGATAGGGGATGGAACATTATTTCTTTATAATTGATTTTAGCATAAGTTTATATAAGGAATCTGGTGGGCCTATGCTCTTAGTATTGACTAGTAAGAGAAGGATGAATTTAGATTTCTTTGCTGCCACGGTTGATTTTTATAATATAACTAGAAATGATTTCATTGTAAAGGATGATGGTCTGGCCAATGTGGCAAGTATGTGACGCCAAAACATGTGCAGAAAATGGCATTCTGTGAAAGTTTCTTTCTTTTGTCTCGATCGTAATACCTGCATATGTAGCTCCAACAGAAGCGTTGAAAACTAAAGGTTTTCATCTTTTATTCATTTCGCTTTCATTTTTAGTTTTTACCGTTAAATGGATATATTAGGAGATTTTTCCAGTTTTCTTTTTTGCTTGAGTTGAAAGAGTTGACTTTCATAGTTACATCTTAAACGCTCTAATACCAGGGCTAATTACAATTTCATCCTTCAGGTTTCCGTCCAGTCAATCAAAGATTTTAGTCCTTAACGGAAGTTGGGGAAACCGGTTATCTGACATAGGATCTTATGTAAGAAGACAATATTAAACCTTAGGATAAATTGTAACACATAAAGCCCTCTCCAGAGAAACCTCCCCACCCACTCCACGCCGCCATGTTGCCCCTGCCCATTCCTCCCCTCGCGACGGAAACACCCACCCCTTAAGACAGCTGCCACGCCATCTCACACCACCCCTCACCTATTCGCCCCAACCCACCACACGCTTCTAGGCTTCTAGCCGCTTTGGTTGTTTTCTGAGTCTTTGTTTTGGTTTACGTTTTGATTTCTGTTTCGGATTTGGTTTTGCTGTGTCGAGGAAAATGAGTTTGTTAGGCCATTTAAAAAGGGGGGAAACGACTTTTCCCCACCCAAGTTTGGCAAAATGTATACTTTTTCACCCCGTCAAGTTCTAAAATGACACTTTCTCACGTTACTATTTGACAATAAAGACAAAAAAAACCTTTTACTGTTTAACTTAATAATTTTATTATTATTTTATATATCTCAACAATTCAATTACCAATATATCTACTTTTTAAATATGAAATTACTTATATGCCCTCAACTATATATTTAAATTCAAATTACTAATTTGTCTCTCCAATTTTATATTAAAAAATGATGTTACTACTATTTTAAAATTTGAAACCATTAAAATTACCAGTTTGTCCTGGAATTTATATTTATATTTTGTCAATTTAAACCCAAATAAAACTAAGTAATAACATTAATGATTTGCTTAAAAAAAATCCAGATTGTAAAATTACAGTGCATTATATATAAAAGAAATTTTGTCAAGTCAAACTCAATAAATATATGGAATTCAATACAAAGAAAACAATTTTTCCAGTTTCTCATTCATTTCTTAAAATCCAGAAAGTTTTGCTTTCACCCTCCCACTTTCTAGCTCCTTGAAGCTCGCTTTTACTTTGCTTTTTGGATCTTCTTCACAATCTTTTGCTCTTTCACCGAGAAAGCTCGAATTTGATGTATTACTTTCCGTCAAAGTTACCATCTTCCAACTATCTTTGGAGGGTATGCTCCATTTAACTTAGCAGCAACGCATTGCTTCACGTTATCTTCACTAAGTTTTAGAGTTGCCTAAAACAATCCACTATATGGTCTACCAAGAACTCGAGCATGTGCTGCAGCCTGCAGGATTAGTTGGTGTTCCATAATGCTTATTCACTCCATTGATACTGAAAATAAAGCACCCATAATCCATAACCAACAGTAAACCAAACGATACAAAAATTTAACACATAGAAAAGAGAATATAACATAATATTAAAAAATCCAACATTCACCCCACCAAAAGTAGGATAAATCAGTAAGTAATGACTTATAATTGTCTCTTCTAATGGCTTATATGTCATCCTAACTAAGTGTTCCCTTTTTTTTTTTTTTTTAATAATAATGACTTCTAAACCAAAAATTGTACTTTTCAATCTTCAATGATACAAAATCTAAAATTAAAAGCAAAACGTCGAGACTTCAATACTATTTTGGCCATTTCTCATGAGCTTGTTTATAAATTTCTCACTCAAATGCTGAAGCAATGAACAAAAATTACAAACCTATAAGCTAGTTCATCCACCACCGTTTTACCAATGCAAGTGGCACCTCCTTCCATAGATTCGAAACCACCATCATCGTTCTAGAGTTGCACCGCTTGTAGTCGCCCACTTCGGATGGCCAAGACCAGTAACATAACCTCAATATCAATCTAATAACAAACACAAATTATAAATACACAAAAAAAAAAAAAAAAACATAATATATCATTACTTTATGAGCCATGCGCGAGCGAGAGAGCGTACATGTCGGAGACGACGAAGGTGAGAGAAGTGAGAGGATGAGAAGCCTTGGGAGGAGCAGGTTAAGGTGGACGGAGAAGCTAAAGCTTCTCAACGAAGGCTCCAAAGTCTTCTTTAATGTTCTTTTTGAGCTTTTGTTTTTTTACAAGGAGAATTCTGGCGTGAGAAGCCATGGCTGAAGTGAAACGAAGATGAATCGCCAGTTTCAACCCTTTTTCTTTGCTCAATCGTCATCTTCGATAGTCACCAACCCTAGCTGCTTAATCGTCGATTACAGAGAATAGGAGTAAAGGCAAATGGCTTTACGTTTTCTTTATTTTTTTTATTTCTAAGCCAGCTTTAGTGGAATACGTGGCAACTATTTCAATTTTTAAACTTTGATTTTTGCGGTTTGATGTAAATTGACCATCGTGCCCTTCTTGAGAACGGATTTTGCTAACGAAACGTAACTGTGGGTGGGAAAGTATTATTTAGAAACTTGACGGGTGTGAAAGTGTCGTTTTATCAAACCTTAGGTAAGAAAATATTGTTCTCCCTTTAAAAATAAAAAATGTGGTTTACCGCGGCTGTGTCGAGGAAAATTGGGTTAATGTGATTTTTTACTAAATTCGAATTACAAAGCTAATTTACGGTGAAAAAGCCGTTAAATTTTTAAGTTTGTTTAAACGGAAATTACTGAGCAACCCTCCCTCTCTAAGTTTTCTCCCAAACGTCCGTTAAGTCTAAGGACTAAAATACAAGTTTCTGATCCTACAAGTATCTGAAATCAATTCCTGGCCGTACACAGAAGCCTAAGGGACGAAATTGCTACTCTTCCCAATTGTATCAAAGTGAAAATTCTGCATTTTAAATCTTAGATAATAATGTTTGGCCGGCCTTAAGATTTCATATTTTCTATTTTTCAGTAAGGATAGTCCTTCTGTTTTGAACATCTCGTAGGGTTGAGTTCTCTGGTTCGTCTTTATTTTTTTATTGAACAATGTTATCTGTAGCAAATTATATCTCAAATAATGCAAACATTATTCGAATGTAATACTTGTAATCAAACCTGGGATGTTTTAGAATGATTTATTCTCTCACTTGCTAAAAGATTTATCTATCAATTATTTTAGGAAATTACTAAAATTGCCTCTAATTGGGGAACTGCTCAAAAACTCTTGTAAAATTATCAAAAAGCTAGGAGCAACAGGCCAAGCTTCCCTTTTAATTTTGTTGAAATCAACTTTGTCAACGTACAGAAATCATGTGTCGAGAGGCTGCATCAAGACTTGAAATCATTTTGAAGCACTTAGCTGTAAATATTATTTATATCATTTAATGCCCCATTAATATGATCGTAATATTCGGATACCTGTTTCTATTAACATATAAGCCATATCAGTTTTACTAGAACAGAAAACATGAAGATGCAGATGGACAACTTGCTTCCTCAGTGAAGCTTTAAGAAAGCCATGAGAGGATCATATACTTCTTTCTTGGCATCTACACCCAATAAAAAGTCTGAATGCCCATATTTTTCTATGTATCTAACCACAAGCTTGTCTCCAGCGTGATCTTTTAGGGTATCCACCAAGTGTTGCACGTCGTAAACATCAGCAAGAGTGTCTGCGCCTCCATGGCAGAGGAAGAGAGGAAAGTCATTTGGAATGCTTTTCAAGTTGTAAACTGGAGGAACAGTCTGCCCGTAATGTTTTTTGTTCTCATCCTTATTGTCGTAATCAAACATTGTTATGGTTCCTCTAGTGACCACTGTCCAATATACCCAGGAATTAAATTCACACACGACCTTATAAGTTTGCAGTTGAAAGGTGTGAAATTCATCTAGATGGGATCAAACTCTTAGGTTCCATTACCACAAGTCAATTTATTTATTTAAATTAGTCTTTGTATTGCAGGGATTAAGGAACGCTTACTCTGAGCAAAATGAATCATGTTTTTTGAGGCAGATGACTGAAGGCCATGGGCCACCACATCACTTTCCGCGGAGGAGTTTTGACAGCAATTCTTTCCTATAATTATAGCAATATTTTGCAGTCAGTATTGAAAGATGAACATTTCAATTCTAGGCGGTAAATTAGCAGATTGCGAACATGTATGCTACCTGAGACAACAGAAAAGGGGTCAGTGCAATTTACACCTTTTGTTTGGCAGGCAATCGCCATAAGTTCGATTTCAGGCCCCCTGTTAAATAGGGCAAACAAAGAATAACCTTTTACCATTCTAACTCATCAAAACTGAGTGGCACTTCAAATTTGGTGAGATACCAAGTGTTTTTCGATGAGGAGTGAGCATGCCCAACTATAATAACAGTTAGATATATGCATTGAATGCAATTCTCCTTTTTTTTTTTTTTTTTTTTTTCTCTCTATGCTTTGTGCATCATGATGGTGCAGGAATATCAAGGATGAAAAGAGTTGAATTCTTACTTCAATATGTTAAATTCACCAAGATGTAACCAAAAGGATTCCTGTCAAAACATAAAAGAGGACATAGGTTTCTTGAGAGTTTCATCCCCCTGAATATCAACATAGGTAGAAGACAGTAGTAGTCACCTCGGCAAGCATGCTTTCAGCGGCAACTCTGACAAACTGGGAGGTAATTTGACCCATATAAGATATTGGGGCAAGTAATGAAGCTGATCTCCACATGTCCAATAGTTGATTCTTGGATAAAGCGGCCAGAGCCATTAAAGTTCCCTAAGAAAAAATTATGTAAGGTATCTTCATTATAGGCTAACAGAATCCTGAAACGAGCAATATCTATCATGAATCAAGTTCACCTGTGAATGCGCAACATAGTGCAGATTCTGTCCTGTCTTTTTGTACACGTATTGGAACATAGCGGTAAGGTCATAAGCTACCATTTCATCCCATGACCAATCCCATAAAGTCTAGCAACAGAACCAAAATCTTTAGTGACAAAAGCAAAACGATCAACTAAAAGCAAAACAACATCTAGAATGAATGAGGAATATAACTGCGTTATCAGGACTGAGAGATTTATGTCCTAGGCTATATACGGTTCCACGTCCATTGGCAATCCATACGTCAAAGCCATTATTGGCCAATAGGAATGATAAAGCTTGCTCTGGAGATGATGCCAGCCATACAAATCCATCCTGCGAACACACAGTTTCTTCTTAGTTTATGAAAATTGCCAGAAAACCAAACACTAGTTAGCAAGTTACTAACCGATAGTAAACCATGCTGTAACAGAACTGGAGGTCTATCTCCTGCTGACCCACCTGACCGCCCCACTGGAATCCTCTGCATGCTGAGAATATAACCATCTTGTGTGGTTACCTAAAACCGATTATAATATCATCACATTTCTGTCGTCAGTAATCATAAACCTCAAACTTCATTTACAGAAAGAAAAAAGAATTTAGGCAGTAAATTACTGTATGTTCTTCACAAGTATAGCCTTTTGTCTTCACCACTGTGTTGCACATTCCACCAGAGGCTGATGAGGACAATGCACTCATACTCGTACCAGGCTGACTTTTCACTGAAAACAAATGAATTCTCGTTCCCAAAGCTGACCCACAAAAAAGAATCACTAGAAATATCGAGTTAAAAGCAATTGCCATATTTTTATGCTATGTATCCTACTCCAACAACGCTCAAATATGATGGGGTATTTATAGTAGTTGAAATCAAGCAAATAATAACATTAAATCCACATGAAAATCTTGGACATCTTTGTCAACAGTTTAAACTAGTGATATAAACGAGGCGGGTGGTAGGACCTGGCATTCTCATCTCTCTAGAATTAAGTATTTAACGAAATAAACTATACCGTAGATTTCATCAAAGCATAATTCCACCTTCAACAAGAAATACCAGGTGTTTTTCCTTTATTGTCTTTTTTGCCATTAACGGTTAACAGTTAAATGTGGTTCCTACGTAAGCCAATACAGATATGCGGACTTTGTTCGTGCTGTTTCACTTAAAACAAATTGTCACGATCATTCTGGACATTGTATATATATCTATCAGCACTAAACCAGCTAATCTTTCAAATTTACTGATCTTTACAATTGCTTTTGCTAATTTTGGTAATAAAACATGACAAAGACTTTATGCTATTAAATTTTAGAGTAAACGACTTATTCGCACCCAAATAAAGGTCTCATAACACTTTCTCACCCAAAAACTTCCAAAATACAATTTTACTGTCCGTTAAATACAATGGCATTTATTATAAAGACGAAAATACCCCTATTAAAGATCAACCCCCAATCACTGGCCACCGCAAATCAAGGTTTCGCGAGCCTCAGCCCAAATTTCAGCCGAATCCGACACTGGAAATCGACCCTGTCACTACCGTGCAACTCACCAGCATCCCTCCACCAAAACCTCTCTCACCCCCACCCACAATCACCCCTCAATCGGTCCAGGATGTTGGGACAGCTTCACCCAAGCTTTTCCTCGAACAGTTTGTGNACCGCAAATCAAGGTTTCGCGAGCCTCAGCCCAAATTTCAGCCGAATCCGACACTGGAAATCGACCCTGTCACTACCGTGCAACTCACCAGCATCCCTCCACCAAAACCTCTCTCACCCCCACCCACAATCACCCCTCAATCGGTCCAGGATGTTGGGACAGCTTCACCCAAGCTTTTCCTCGAACAGTTTGTGTGCAAGCTAGAAATCGATAGTTGTGAAGACAGTGGGAATTGGCCAGCGACCGAAAAACACAATTACACCAATAGCAACACTACTACAACGATTAATTTCAACAATAACCTTCAATCCAGCCCAAAATCATCAACAAATCATCATTCAACTCAAAAAAAAACCCTAGGGAATGAGGCTTCAATCGACGGTGATAGGGAAGCAATCAGGGTCAAGAAACTTGGGGGTTTTGATGAGGGCACAACGGTGAGTCGAATGGCGGGGTGAGGGATGATTTCCGATGGAGAGGATGACCAAAAAAACGCTGGGTCACCCTTGTGTGACTTCGTTGCGCGACTACCCTGATTGTTTGTTAAGAGTTTTGGACTTTTGGTTGATTTGGATTTGTTGTTGGGACGGTGAAACACCCCTAACCACCACCCTCTACCACCAGCAACCTCTCAACAAAGTGGAATTTTGAATTGACCATCATGCCCTTACTTATAAGGGACTTTTGACCAACCTACCCTTTTTCACAAAGAAATATGCTAACCCAACTATGCTTTGGACAGTAGAGTTATACTTTGAAAGTTCTTGAGTGGGAGTGTCGTTAGGCTATTATTTGGGTGGGAAAAAGTCGTTTACTCTAAATTTTATGCTCAAAACCACTATAATAGGAAAAGCATGGAACACTCACCCATCAAACACATGGTAAACGAAGAAACTAATTATTTTCCTTCTCATCCACCATCATAAAGTTCAAACCAAGGTCGCCCTGAACCACATAAACATTTTTTGGGCATTTCTTTCTTCAAAAGAGAATTATCATCAAATATATTATCAAAACTGCAGTCAAATTTATAAAAATGCTAACAAGACTGACGGATTTCCCCAGAAGTATGTGTTGTAGGATTGTCTTTTAGCATCACTTTGGATTTAGTTAAAGGTCTTCTAAGGAACTGGAATTGCAAGCCTCTTGGTTTTATTTGCCCAAGTAACTGCCACTTTCTCGGTTTGATCTGCCCTACCAATTTCATCTGCTCCCTTCTGAACTTCCTAGTTGCATACCATCTTCCACCTCGCCAGCCCATTCCATACCTGCAATTCGACAATATAGGTAAAAGACCAATAGGAAATGCAAATTTTAAGTTACTTTCAATTGAAAAGATTCTGTTTTAACCTAGATTCCAGAGCGAAGCCAATCCAATAAAGAAATCGGTATGTCTGGCCCAATCCCCCAAATATTGGCTCTAAAGTCTTAACCTATTCTTTTTCAGCATATCTTTTGTTTTTGGATTTCCAAGTACAGTACTAATATATCCATACATAATTAATTCGTGACTACTTTCCGATTATTTTTGAAGATTCCAAAAAACCCTCAAATTTGAAGCATAGTTAATGCTATTGCCGCAAAACAATATGCATTCATTACATCTGATGATGTAACAGCATATTAACATTAGAGCACTCTCACTTCCAGCAAAACTCATGTCAACATGGATAAAAACCTTAAAGATTTCACATTGCTTTTAAATCCATTTTGAACTTAAATAATTCCTCTATTCAACAAAGACAAAACAGATAGAAAACTAGAGGCAACACTTAATTTTTTAGAAGCAGAGCGATTACTCAATGAATACAAGAAATTAACAGTAGGTACATACCCAATAATTAAAGTCGTTCCAGCAGTGGCCATCAAAGAAGCAGTACTGGATCCCGGATCAACAAGCTTTTCAACTTCTGCATGTCCAAGCTGGTAACTGCTTTGCAACTGTCACAAAATAAAGAAAGAATATCAGCTGTAACCAACAAAAAAAAGTAGAAATGACAATGAGTATTTGGGAGCAATTGGAGAATTTTGTATAAAAGGTACTCATAATCCCCGCAAGAAGAGCAGGCTCAAGTAGTTATATTCTCAACAAAAACAGCAACTGTTTAGTATTCTGCAGTAAATACTTACAGCTTTTTCAATTGATTCAAGTCTCTGATCTACTTTGGTTTGATGAAGGTGACGAATAGAATACCCTGCTCCATCAATTAAAAAAAATTACTCAGATTGATTAACAGTAATTAGGAAGCAAATAGTAGTACAAGCACAAAAACAAGTACACAAGATGTTTTTAAAATGCCTGAGATCAACAAGTACCATTTCTTTTTGGTCATAAATTCTTATTTGTGGACGCTCTAGCATTATCATTGAAACGTTTTCTTACAGCATTTGTCTAAAGAAGGTTAAAGGTTTAAAACGTTGGTCTGAAAAACAATCCTTTCACTCTCGTTAGTTTAAAAAAGCAATCCTTTCATTCACTACAACAGAGGCTCTTCAGTTAAACAGAGTAATTAGCTAAACCACCAAGTGGATATACAAGAGCCAACAGTTCCATTGAACTTCAAACTGAATTTCACAGACTATTGCACCAAGAAAACCCTCTCATAAAAGCATTTTAATAATGTTTCCAGTGATGTTAGTTGATGCTATTAAAACTATTCCTTTTCTACCAAGGATGACTGAAGCAATCGACCAAAATTCTAATCAGAGTAACACAAATATGAGATAAATGGCATCCTTTATAATTCTCTGAAAATTAAGATCCCAAATCATTGGGATGAAGGATAGAACAAAATAATCACTCGAAAAGGCCAAAAGAATATTAAAAAAGTGAAGAGAATAAAAACATAAATCCAAATAAAAGTTACCAATCCAAGCTGTAGCAACTGATGCTATCGAAGTTCCGATAGTGAACACCACTCTATGCCTCTCAAACGTATCCTAAAACATCAAACATCAATCAAACACAATAAAATTGTGAAAAATAAATAATAATATTAATAACACACAAAACCCTATAAAAATTAATAAAAAGAAAACTAATTGAAACCCATTAATTTAAACCCTGAAAAGACAGAACCTTGGTTGAAAAGAAGGTGTCTTGAACAGCAGCCCATGAATTAAGGGCTTTTTTCTTGATCTGGGGCACAGTTACTGAACCCAAAATCGAGGTCCCTCTACTTCTCAATCGCTGCATATTGAATTCGACTCGAAACTCAGTGAGCTAACTCAGGCAGTTGTCGAGTTCAAATCACAAAGACAAAGAGGTTCTCTGAAACCAACGACGAAGTTTCATAGGGAGAAAAGTTTCTGCCCATTTTCTATTTACAGGAAAATTTTGGTGCCAAGTGAAGTTGCCTTATTTTGATTCTTGGTTAATAACTTGGCCCAAAGGTCAATCCTAAAAATGATTTTAGACCGTCAATTTCAGTTTTAAAAAGAAAGGATTAATAAAGGATCGTTTGGTCTTTTACAGCTACATCTCATTTAACACCTTCTTCTTGTTTTTATTATTCGCTTTCAATTTTAATTTTATTCTTTTTCTCACGGAGAATATGGGCCTGCAATCGAATATTGGGCCTCATCGAAATCTCTGGACAGTCCAAACTCCAAACTCCAGGGGATAAACTTTCCCGGATGTATCGTCCACAGAAATTCGGGATCATATTGAAAAGGTTGATAGCATTATGCCATTATCCTACCTTATCAACAGCATGTAATAATACTAGTAATTTACAAGATTAAGAGGGTTTTGTGAATGTATAATATTAAGTTTAATTAACCAAACATGCATTACCGTGTGTGAATGTGGAACTCATTTTCTACTCCTTGATTACAATCATATTAGGCCCCCTTCATTGGGGAATTTTGTAGATAAAAAGAAAGGGAGAATGAGATGGATGGAGGACAAGAGAATGGTAAATGAAATTACAAGGTGGGAGACAAGATGTTATTCTAAAGGAGGACACAGTTGAGATTTTTTTTTTTTTTAATGGAGAATTAGCAAATGCCTTCACATCACTTGGTATATTTATATATAATAACAAAAGTTAACAGCATTATAGTAGGGATAATGATGAGATGAAATGAAAGTGAGCCTGATCCTTTTTTGGCTAATCAAAAGACAAAATGAAAAACTAAGGATATCGAATGAAAGCACATCGGTTGAGGGCAAACTAGCTTTTCTTCATGTTTAAGGAAAAAGCATAAGATGTAACACAATGCTTTAACCATCATAAAATATATTTGTTGAAAGATGGTTGCTTACCACTCGAATAGGATATCTTAACAAGTGAAAAGCTATTGTACTGGCCATAATGGCATCTGTTCAATTTTTTATTGATGTTTTGTTCATATAAAATTAAGTGCTTTGCAGAATATACAATATGAACAACATGGCAACATATTTACTTTGTGCACCTCCACTACTTTTGAGGACCATGAGAGCCTGAACTTTCAGAACCTAAGCCTTGATAACAGACACTGTCTGCCTTGAAAAACAAGGTAGTCAATCCCTTTTCTGAAGAAGTAGTGAAATAAAGTGATATAAAGATGAAGGATTCATGAAATTCTGTCTTCGAACATTAATTGAAAGCACCCAGAGTTTTCCATTTTTTTGTTTTTTTGTTTTTTTTTTGGTTTTTTTTTCTATTTCCTGATTTTGTTTCTTTGGCAAATTTGATATAAAAAATCACAAAAGATAAGTCATTAGAAACAGTGAAACTCATCCATGTCACACTCCATCATGTGGCAGAATGAATAAAGTTGATCTGAATGATTATCCTACCAAAGAAATTCAAAGAGTGGAAAGAAAACAACAGAAAAAGCAAATGCGAACACAATTCTATCACCAGGAGAATCCAAGAAACATGCAATCTTCTTTTAATGCTAAAAACTTCAAAATCCAACCAAAGATACCACCACAAGTAAAGTAGGGTTCATTTCAACAACAGCATTCTTCTTTTACTTCACTCAAAATAACACCCCAACCTAAAAGCAGAATCCAATTACATGAATCAGATTTTGGTAAAGGGTCATATTTCCTTAACTGAATTTTTGTTGCAAATACAACATCACATTTCCCCTAATGGGTATTTCAAAATTACCTGCCCGGTAAAATTGCCAAACCCTCCAATAACCTAAGAGGGTGTATTGATGAAATACAGATGCAGTGCATGCACCAAGGCCTGGAAGTGAAGATGGTGTGTACAAGAATCTACATCACGTGCAATAAATGGTTCTTATCAAAAACCCTATCAACATGTAAGCTTTCTCACCAAACCAAAATACCAACACAGCCCCCTGCATTGTTTTTCTAATCTTCGTCCATTACCATCCTCACCTCAAAATCTTCAAACATCATTGGAATAATTAACTTTACTGCAAATGAATCGAAAGGCAAAAGAAAATAAAATTTTGTGCGGACTGAAACTATTATTTTTGGTTTGATAAGATTAAGAAAATGTTTTGTACACCTGAAAAAGAGATGAGGATGATCAGATCAAGATCGAATCCACATCTTTTGTAAGACGATCTAACTTCAACGACACAGACAAAACATTAATATTCAACAGCCCATCATCAAGTTGAAGAAATCCCAGATCGCATAATGAACAACTAATCTACATATAATCTAAAAAAGTAGACATTTTTCATAAATTTCCTCTTCGATTCAACCCACCACCAAGTACCCGAATTTTCTTTTCTTTTTTTTTCTTTTTTTTCTCATAATCATCATCATGATATTCCCCATAAAATAAGACTTTAAAAAAGAAAAACATTAAATTAAGGGAAGGATTTAAAAAAAAAAAAACATCAGAGGCACAAAGCAGTGGCTCGAAGATCATCACCGTCAACATCAACAATGTCCATCATCATCGTCGGCGGTGGTAAATTCAGATCGAACGGCAGGATTTTCCTGAACGAAGAACTGAGAACACCATCATCGCCGTCATCAACAACCGAAGACGATGAATCACAATCGCTATGACAATCATCCGGTGCAACCGGTTGCACGATTTTCCGCTGCACCCGTGGGACAACCGGCACAGGGTTCGACACCCTGGGCCCACTAAAAGACTCCACCGTACTGCTCATGCTGCTGCTCGTCGGTCTATTGACCTGAACAGCCGGCTCAAATTTACAAAACCCGGTTCGAGACTCTCGTTCTCGATGCTGTAAAAGTACAGGAATATTATTAACATTATTAGACGAAGAAATCGTCAACGGAAAATTCGTTTTTGCCTTGGGCCCACGGAGGGACCGTGCGGCCGCGTCGTAAGCACGTGCCGCGTCTTCAGCGGAGTCGAAGGTCCCGAGCCAAACGCGTGTCTTTTTCCAGGGATCTCGGATCTCGGCAGCGAATCGGCCCCACGGACGTTTCCGGACGCCTCTGAATCGGATTTCGGAAAGATTTTCGGTGGCCTTCGTTGGTGGTAGATTTATCGGCTTTGTAGCCTTGGCTCGCCGCATGAGGAAAAGAAGAATAAAAAAAGGGGAAGGAATTAAAAAAAAATGGATATATGTGGCTACGAACACCACCTCTCAAAGAGAATTTTGTTAATCTTGAAGCTGAGCTTGTGTATTCATTGTGATTCGTTTATTTTCTTTTGATCCAAGCAGGGTTCTGATTTGCGCTTCTTTTTCTCTCCGGGAATGAACGATTCCGGATTCAAAGCTGTGTATGGTTTTGGCTCTTTTATTGAGACGGAGAGGGACTGGTGTGTGGTTGTGAAATTACCAGATTGCCTTTTTTTTTTTTTTTAATTTGGTTTTTATTTTATTATTGGACCAACTCTCTATGCGATTATCAACACCACTATTTAATTTCATAGCGCGTTCATACCTTGGTAGGAGACTAAATAGCGTTCATACCTCGGCAGGAGAATAAATAAAGTAAAATCTCTCTATAAATAAGAATAAATTCTATATTTTAATAAATTATAATTTTTTTAATTTCTATTTTAAAAAAAGTTATCTTTACATAATAATAATTATTAAATTATCTCTACATAATAACAATTATCTATATATTACAAAAAAAATATGTTATGTAAAATTAAAGGTTTAAAATGAAATAAAAATATTTATTTAAAATTGTTTGAGACAATGATTTATGTTTTAGAGTTGTTATCACATCTTTTATCTTACGAGTACGTAATAGCTCGTTAGCATGGATTCCTTTTTATTGAAGCCAAAATATTTTTAGTTTCTCAAACATGTTTAGAGCTTCATGGCATAAGACTTTTTGTATTTCTGTATTATTGTCCTTAGGATTATTTTATTTCTCTTCTTGTCTAATTACAACAATGATTTATCCTTTGGTTAAAATATACACGATTTGTTGCTCATTTAGATAATCGAATAAGACATTAATATCCATTCGATTAATGTAGTGAATTTGTCGAATCTGATCATTCAATTCTATAGTGACTCTTTTATTCTCTTCATCCACTTTATTTGTAACTTACAATTCATTGACATTAGTGGTCCTTATTTTGCAGTACTTAAAACCATTGACAATTGTTTGTGGCTTCACATCAATTGACCATGCAACTGTATTTACAGTTCCATCAATGACACTTATTTTTGCTAGTTCTAAGAAACGATATTTTATCCGTTTCAAAAGTTAGCAATTGAAATGTTGTATTGAAATTCTAATATTACTAAAATATGAATTGAAATCTTAATACTGTACTACTAAAACATGAATTATAAAATAAGAAATCAAAACTATTATTTTTGTAACTACATCTTCATTAAGTTATAACCTCTTTATAATAATAAAATTAGTTAGTCCCAACATTATGACTATAGAGAGGTTTTACTGTGCTTTAAAATATTATTTATGTGTTTCATATTATGAAAATTCCAAATCATAATTTCCTTTTTTTTCATGGCACAACGAATCGATAATATGTTCCTGTTTATGTTTACTATGATTACCTTCTTTAAAAATTATCAAATGTAAGAAATCCATATATGTTTTATGATAAATGTGAAAGAAATGTAGTGATTAAAAAATTTATGATTTAACCACAAATCCAACGTTCAACTAAGACTCTTGAGTAGGTTGTTAATAGGGTGACTACAAAGGAAATTTATCTAATTATCAATTTCAAAGTCCCGAGGGATTAGTTAAGGTACACGTAAACTGGTTCGGACACCCTGATCATAAAAAAAATTATAATTCAAATGTTTGACACTTAGTAGATAAATAATATATATGTTATTATTATTATTTCCTAATTGACCCATTTGATAAAATTAAATATAAATTTATATCTAATTATAAATTAAATAACAAAAAATGAAATAGTTAAAAGTTCATATGTTGACCTTTATTGTTACAAGCATCTTGGTAATTTGTTTCCATCAAAGTCAAAAAAAGAAAAAACTGAATAAGGTATTAGAAAGAGAAATAGCGATTTGATATTGTCAACAAAAATCATTTGTCATGTTTTGCGCATCCTAATTAAATAATTGGTTCTATATATGAAATTAAACAAAAAATTGAATAATAAAAATAGAAGAAGAAAAAATCAATTGTGTCGATGATATAGTGAGGATTTTCTAAAGTTGTAAGGTCACGATATGACCAATTCGGTAAGTCCAGCTGCTTTGCCAACCAATTCGTTAATTCCGAAAATTGAGTATTTGTTTTAGAAATGTTCTTCACCCAATTCACCTCTTTGGATTTACACACATAAACTAAATTCTATTTGTTCGTCTAATGTGAGCTTGTAAGAATTAAAACATACTGTGAATGTCAATTTATATGAGTTGTATTAAAATTAGTAAAGGATCAACTTTTACACATTCTGATAGTTATAATAAGAATCAAAACGTGGGATGAATTTACAAAGACTAAAAATACTATTAGGTAAACCATGGAATCAAGAAAGGAGCAACTTTTGAACACAACATGGCAATTAAACTGGTTTAGTAATTCATTGAATAGCATACAAATGTTTGTATTCTATGATTCAAAAATTTGTCCAAATCAATACAATGGAAATGGACCCTCATTATTCTATTCTTCGTATTTATTGAAACCCTTTTTTGGTATCAAATTAATTAATAGTCATTAATTTCTACGTACTATAACTAAAGTTGTTAATGGATCTGGCTTTCAATGTTTATTCATCAGTCGACTCAAGTAAAATCTTAATCATTTTTCAATATTAATATATTGGACCATAAGGTATTTGTCATTGTTATTAGACAGGGTTTTAGGGTGTGAACTATGGAGACCTTTTAATATAAAAAAATGTTCACAGAAATACAATATTTAAATCGTTAACTTATTATAAATAGTTGATTAATTGACAAGTATTGACCGATTCAAAAGATGGGCAGATGTAATTGAAAGACGAATTCAAAATCTTAAGATGAATAAATAAATTTACAGTGATCTATTTAAACAAATGTAAAAATACGTCTAATAATGTTTTTTATTTTAAAGAACATTTTTATATAAATAAAAAGTATTTTTATTAATTTTTAAATATAAAGAATAAAATTTTTATTCAAATCTCATAGGCTCTTTAAATTATAGGAGAGATAATATAATTTTTTCAAGAAATAAACTTAATAGAAGAGATAAATCATAAATAAAGTGCATAAAAACTTACAATTTATTATTTAAAATTAGGATTAAAAGTAAAGTTTGACTCTCTAAATGTAGAGAGTCAAATTCACTCTTTAATTCATATTTAAAGAATAAAGAATCTGTCGGAATCTTGTTTCTATGAATAAATTCTTTATTTGGGTCATATAAAGAGTCTTTTGGAGATGTTTTAACATGAATAGAGTAAATAACCTTTTCCCATCCAAGGTTTGCCTTAATGACACTTTTACACCAAAAAAAGCTTTAAAATACAACTTTTCAACCCAAAGTTTATATTCCGTTAATATTCAAAATACACTTCATTTTTTCAGTCAACGTTAGGCAAGTTACCAAGAGCCAAGATAAGAGGAGTTTGGTAGAATAGAGACTGGTGGATTGAATAGTGGTGACCGATTGAATATTCACCGTTAAAATCAATTGAAAATCTGTTAAGAATAGAAAATATTAACTTTACGATGGCCGATAATCGATAAAAAATTTGGTGTCAAAATGAGAAGGGTTTTCTAAAGAGGAGACATAAGGATTTAAATAGTAGTGTCAAAGAGAATTTTAACTGTCAAAATCGGTTTTGGATGATAACAAAATATTAATTTTGGATTAAAAAAAATGATATTTTAAAACTTTTTAAGCGACTCAGTTTACTCCAGTCAAAAATATGAAACATTTTTTAATCTCCGAGGCCGTATATGGAATTAAAATTACAGTCCAACGGCTAGTATCGGGCCTAAAAAGAGAGTCAAAAGGCATTGAAAATCATATAAATCCACTAGGTAGTCAGTTGATCATGTGCAATTTATTGGATTTGCAGAGGGAAGAAAAATACAAGTAAAGCCTCAAAACGGTGTAGCATTTGGCCCCACATTGACCGACTGATTTAGCCAAATTTCAAGACTAGGCTGCTCAGTTTCTGACATTTCTTCTCTTGCTTACAAACCTACATCTCCTGCTCAGCTTTTCTTCAACTTATCAAATAAAATAATCGAAAAAAATAAATATACCAAAACTATTTAGTATTTGTGTATCTTAATATATTTTTATCATTGGAAGATATGAATCAATCTCAAAGAGATGGCATGTGAATATTGAGATTATACTGCGTAAAAGGTGGAGAAATGATTTGAAATGAAAATTCAAGCTATAAACACAATAAAGTTAAAAAATTTATTTCTTTTTGTTGTTTTTATATTTAACATTTGGATATTTACAAACTAAACATTTTGTATATTCTGAGTGGATAACAAATTCTGGTATTTACCACAACAATAAATAAAGCTATCAATTTTTTATAAAGGTTAAAATACATCGAATCATCGATTAACAAAACTTTACTCCATAGGTGGCTAGGTGCAATAGCAGACCAAATCCTGGCCCACATCTGCCCACGTGTCAGTAATCAGTAGGATCACATTGATCGATATTGCCTTAGAGTCAACCGGGACCACCAGGTTTCCCGGTAAAAGCAACCGGCCGGCACTTAAGCAAAACCGAGGCGGGCCTTCTCTGACTGGACTCATATGTCGGGGGGTCTTTACTGTCACGCCAACCGACAGCTGTTGATGCTCTCGGTCTCCTATAAACCAATGGTTGTATTAAACGTGTCCGTGTATTTCTTTCCCTATTGGCCAAATTGATATATTTATTTTAATTTTAACCCAACTTTTGACTATTCGGTGGCTTCCCCTAGGCACCAAAGACAGCGTGCGCCGCGTTACTCGTGGGCTCCGCGGGGGCCCATGGAAACATCATGGTAACGTGGCCTAATTTCGTCACAAATTGTAAAAACAAGTGATTACGTAAATTAGTGTTGTTTAATTACGTGGTTTTTGTATTTAAGCAGAAGATAATTCAATTATAATTTTTGGTTAACCGACAAAAACAAATTGATTAAAATTACACTTTGAATGTTATTACAAATAAATTAACCCAACACACTTAATATACAAAATAAAGCTTGTAGAAAAATCTTTTGTCTTCTATTAAGGAATTTGTTGAATACTTGCTTTCAAAGGTAAATATTAAAGGTATCAAAATCATTTTACCATAAAGTATATATTATAAAACATTCCTAATACATGAAATTTAAATTCTACACGCGGGCATTGTGTAGGCCCAATGAAATGACGTGGCAAAGATGAGAGCTACAAAAAATCAGATGATTCACAAATGAGGGAGCATCAAAGCAGTACCAATGGGAGGCAGTAGCTTATGAAATAAGCTTTTAATGCGTATAAAATTACTCGCTGTTTCAATTCAAATGAAAGGATAACCATAAGCGCACGTTAGCATCGTCAAAAGCAGCTTTCTCGTTTTCTGTGGATAATATTTTCGCGGGAATGGCAAACAATGTGGCAGTTGGTAGTGTACGCAATATGCGTTTGTTAGCATCATCTGAGGATTTTCAAACAACGTGCCTGTAGCTGTAACTTGCGCCAGGTGGTAAAGGTCTTTGCTTTAATAATGATATCCAGGAGTCGAGAAAATATCGAAATATTAAGTACTGAAAATTAAATAAATTTATAAGAGGAAGGCGAGAAAGGAACTTAGATAATAGTAATAATAAAAGTAACGCTGGCCTTAAATAATAATAAAAAAAAGGGGTAATATGACAGAATTAGAATAAAGTCAATACATGTGAAAATATTAAATATTAACTTAGAATGGTGGGAACCGTCCCTGAGTATAAGTGTGAAGGAAGACCCACAGATTTATTTGCATGAAAACTTAAGTAGGGGAAAGTGGGTTCCATTTATTACATAAATTAATTAGTTTGACCCTACGTTTTGCTTCATTTGGCTGGCACGGTTGTTTTGGACAAGTGGAACCAAAATCGATCCTCTTAAGTTTAATTTGTACATTCTTTAACACGGCACCAAATACAAACATTTTCTTCTACTTTCACTGTCTTCATTCAGAAATGTGGAGACACAACATAACTTATAGGTAACCCATAAAGTGAAATAAACGTATTACGTTATGAATCTGCCAAACCACAACTACAACAACATTCATTGTTCACAGTAACCAAATAATCATGCCCCCCCTGGGCATGGTAGTTCATAAAAGATTGCCAATCTTAATTCTACCACACAAAGTTAATTTGTTAGCTATGATTTGGTTCTATTTGCCAACATGTTCCTGTAATGAAAAGGCCAGAGATTTGCAGAGCATAATAATGCCAAACATTCATCATAACCACAAACATCAAAACCTTCCCACTAAAATCTCATCTCATCACCACATAATGGATATGATCCAAGAAAGAGCAAATATTTCAACAGTAAAAGGAAATCTTTTACAAATTTTCACCTGCATGTTATTTATTCACCACAAAAAATGCCTCCATGCACAACCCCCAAACTTTTGCTCATCACAATCGCCAAACAACCTATACCACTCACAGGTGAAAAGGGGGGAGTGGGAGGTACAAGTCATAAATATCCTTCAAAGATACTGGGTAACAAAAATGTAAAGTCAATGAGAACAAAATGAACTCAATTTTGATCGTGTGAAGGTTCTGAAGAATCTTGTACTGAAGGAGGTGGAGAACGGGGCTCCTCAGGTGAATCATCTGAATTATTTGTACTTGAGTTCTTCGTATCTGGGTTCTGATGCTTGACATTTGCAACATCAGAATTCTGTACCCAATCAGGAACTTTTGATGACATAGCAGTAGAATTCTCAGACGAAGGAGCTGTCGGTATGAGATGATGAGTCATGAGAGATGAATCCAGTATAGATAGTGGAGGAAGGCTCACACCATAGTTAAAAGGATATCCTGCAAAGGGATGATCAAATCTACAAGTTGGACCATACTTGCAGATTCCATACATACTGTAATTAGAACACACAGCTTGCCCCTGCATGTAGGAGAAAATGAATTCATTGCAATTAATTAAATATTCAACAAAGAGAAAAATCTAAATTTCAAGAGCAAAAGTTATAAATAACTTTAAGCCTATAACAAGCTCAAATATACTATTGCACTGATGTGCACTTGATATTCAAAAAAAAAAAAAAAATCATGATATTTCCTAAGTTTCCAAAATTTCTTAAGACAGACGCTGTAAATCAATAGGCATGCCTCAATTATGAGATAAGTATGATTTTTTTTTTTAAATAAAAAAGTAATTTCAATAATCTAGTACTAACTGGAAAATTATGAATCTTGATTTTGCAACCCAAACAGTAAATGGAGTATCAATGTGTATTCCGCAATGTAAGAAATGGAGTATCAATGTGTATTCGCAATGTATGAAATGGAGTATCAATGTGTATTCCGCAATGTAAGAAATGGAGTATCAATGTGTATTCGCAATGTATGAAATGGAGTATCAATGTGTAATCCACAATGTATGAAATGGAGTATAAATGTGTATTCTGCAATGTATGAAATGGAGTATCAATTTGCATTCCGCAATGTATGAAATGGAGTATCAATGTTTATTCCACAATGTATGAAATGGAGTATCAATATGTACTCACCAGTCAGCAATGTATGAAAATAACGTGAAAAACTTACAGGTCTTGAGGGCAGGCCAAGGGGTCCTATATTATTTACTGCTGATTGAGCAACCCTTTCCTTTGGATGATGGAACTTGCAATCAGATCCATATTTGCAGGTTCCAGTGTTCATATAATATCGGCATTCTGGTTGATCAGGTCTCTCAGGTAAATTTGAACTGGATGGGGATAAGACTTGCACCTGCCCACCGGGACTTAAGTCACCTTGATTCCTGGAGTTGTAAATATGGTTGGATCCAAGTGCACCAGGAGAAGATAGAGGGCTAATATTTCCCTGATAAAGAAAAGCATGAAAGAGAATAACACAATAAAAATTCATATTAAATGGAAATTTCACATGAGAAAAGCCCTAAATACATTTGCTTATTGGTAAAAACATAAAAAATTTATGTCTGAGTTCTTATATGATAATTGCTTGAAACATATGACTACTTGAAAGAGAAACATGACGGAGTCAGCACAACTCTTAGTATTAACATGAGTGGACAAAAAATGAAGCAATCTGCTTCTTAATGGTACCACTCATTCCAATAGTAGATTATGGACCTTACACGAAGCAAAAGCAAAAACAAAGTTTTCTGAAATTCACATAGGAACTCTGTTACCTAAAGATTTAACTTACTGACCATGTAGGTGTTCCAACCTGGTGCAGATACAATGCCTTGAGAAGGAGAGACAATGACAGGCATGTAGCTTTGTGAACCTTGTAAACGAGGGCCAGATACATAAGGTGCCCTTGGTAATGACCATGTTGAAATGCCACCTGCGTAAGGCAGAACTGATGTCCCCATTGATCCAAATGCAGCAGTTCCAGTCACAGGTAAACCATTTCCATGTGCCGCAGGCTGAGGATGGTGAAACTTGCATGCAACTCCAAACTTGCATGCTCCAGTCCGCATGTAATAAGGACATGATTTTTCATCCTAAAAAGAAGAGTCATAATTTAGGAGTTGTAAATGTATCATTCATATTCATCCATGCATGAGAACTTGTTAATTATGAATATTCAAATGTCAATTTAAGGAGAAAAGAGGTCAAAAAATCTCGTACTGATTTGCAGTAAGAAATAATCACCTGACGCATAGGAAGACCTAGAACGTTGAATGAGACTGGTCCAGCACCATTCCTATCCTTTGGGTGATGATATTTACATGTTGGTCCATATTTGCAGGTCCCTGTCTTCAAATAATACTGCAGCGCATGTCAAGAGGTGGAAACTCATCAATCAGAAAGATTGTAACTAATGAGGCATATTGTCTAACATATACATGCAGGCTAACAATTAGTATCATAAAAGGAAGAATTCCAGAGTAATTTTACTACAAAAAGTTAATCTATTAATATGACATCATTCTCCTTTCAAATAATTGCAGACAATTGTGCAGTATATCAAACATAATTAAGCAATATCTAACCTAGATTCCAAAGGAAGGCTTGTATACACTACACATGATATAATAAAATCCCATCTGGGCTTGCCAGTCAACCACTAGCAAACCCAACTTAGCAGCTGCCAAATTATGCATTTCATTTAATTTACAAAGAAAAATGGCCCACCCTTCATAACTAATATACAGTGTGAGAAAACTTCCAAAGACGATTTAGATTGCCGTCAAAGATTGTGGGCAAGACAGAACAAATAGAAATCAGGGGCAGAAATTTCTCATAACTGTTCAACAAAAGTAAAGTGGAACTGTGTAACAATAACCAACATTATCAGAAAATCTAGAACCAACCGATTCTGCAGGTTATCAGGGTGCATTTTGCTTTCATTTAGTCAACAATATCACATACATATATTTAAATAAAGTTCCAAAATTAAATGAACCCGATGGATTCCCCACATAATTATTAGCTACAGTCCTGTAAAAATTTCATTCTAATATATCAGAGCAAACAGCAAGATAAACACCCAGCAATCATATAATTCAAGAAGGGGAGAATGTACCCCACAGTCGGGTTGTCCAACTCTCTCCGGTAGTTCTTTCTATATTCAGCACCCTGTTCAGATAATAATATGATGAGATACAAAGTCTACTACCAGTCTACAATTTATAACAGGAAAAAAAAGTAGAAGTCTATGTAAAGGTAACACAAAACATTGGTGCAGATTTCACACCAGTTGATAAATCATTTCACTATGGTGCAAACCGTTGAAGCAACATTGATAATCCATTTTACATAACATTAAAATTGACATAACATTAGTGAAGCCACTTTAAGTATAAAATCTTAATTACCTGAGCAGCATAAGTAGGATGATAAAGCGACAATGGCTTCCATAACCACCCACCCCTGTCCTTAGGTAATAGGACAATTTGGCTCACCGGCCGATCTGGGTATGGGCTTGATTGAGCCACACCACCCCTTCTTGATTATCATGAATTTTCAACCGCCATATTGCTTCTGCAAAACACAGGAGAAGCACAAATCATCAAAGTTCATGTCCAGAATCCAAGCTTTCAGTCCATCAACTTATGATATTTCACTTCTCAACCAATACCAAACATCAAGGAACTAAAAAAAACTCAATTCAATGAAATTTCAACTAAAATTAAGGCCATCAACGAAAGCTAAAATACAAAACTTCAACATGCATGCATCAGTAAACATAGTTGTCAAAACCGAAAAACCCAAATCATCAAACTTCTCTCATCTAATAAGACGACAACAGGATTCAGATAAATTGAAATCCAAATATCACAATAAATAGAAACAAAATAGCTCAAACCCTCAATAAATAAGTTACCAACATCGCATCTTAAACAATTCAAATCAAAATATTCAAAACTTAATATGTCATGCCTCAACAAACGCAGTACTAAACACTAAAACACCCACATGGAAAATACACTCACCTGTAATCAAAGTCAAAATCTAACTTAACAATACAAAAAACACATTGCAAAAAGTTGATCACAGCAAAAAGAATAACCCATGATCACAAAAGATAAACAATCATATTTCATCAAAACATATAATTAATGAAAAAAAATAATCAGATCCCTATTGTCAAGAAAAAAAGTGCACCAGAAATCAACTACCTTCAAGTTGTCCCGGATTGATTTGACACAGCATTGTATTAGCCTGACGGTTATCTGGCATCGGTGGCACAGAATTTTCGTCACCCGTCAGCTTTCAAACAAAACAAACACAACCAAGATACAATTCTAAACACAAAATCAAATAAGTTAAAGAAACAAAAACACGATGTCAGAAAGGTTGAAATGAGGAGAACTTTTTATCATTTTTTTCCCAAACAAAAAAAAAAGAGAAGAAAAATCGATAAGAAGAAGAGATAAAATATGAAGAATCAGAAAGTGAAATCTGCAAATATATTCCAATTTGATTAAAAATTCTTTATTTCCCTTTTTCTTTTTTCTTTCCCACGATTCTCAGTTTGTGTGTGTAAAATTTCGGATCTCTTCAATGTGAAACCAAAACTGGAAAATATAACATAAGTTGTTTCGTTTCATCGGCTCTTGTACGAATAATACTTTAGTTTCTATGAAATGACACCTTTGCCCTCACAACTACTTCTCTGTTTTGTAGTTATTAACCGTATGCTAGCCTCTTCTTATTTTTCAACTTTTCTTTGTAGGAATAATTTTCATTATTTTGCAGATTACGTATTATCCCTGATTTGGATTAGAATGGATAATAGTATGTGATTGAGGGTAATTAACGTTTTAATTGAGGGGAAATTACGAAAATTAGGGTATCGGTTGGTTATAAACCATTGAACTGTTAAATAAACCTCATTTAGTGACCAATTTTCCTTTAGTGAACTCAATTTTCTTAATACGATATTGATAGTATTTGAAATTATATATATATATATTTATTTTTTTTTTTTTATAGTATTGGCTAAAGAATACCTATATGAAATAGTATTAATAAATGAATGTCATCAATTGAATTTATTGCTTTGGGCCTTAGTTATATTGTATTTAATGCGCGCTAAGTCCTTTTACTAATGATAATTGGAGGTTTCATTTTGGTCTCGAAATGAAAACTAAGTATAAATTGGATGTGACATTTATCATCATCGTTTAATTAATTAATGATTTTAAAATTAGTAGAAACGAACCTCAAATGGGTGTATCTCTTTCATAAAAAATGGCATATTGAATTTGGAGGAATTTGGCCATGATTGTTTTAAATATCTTCATAAAAAGTGTTTTAAGATTTTTTTTTTTTTTTTTTTTTTTGATTATGTATATATTGACAATCAATTAAACATTCATTTAATTTTTTTAATGTTATAAAAAATGAATTTCAAAAATATTTTAAAAAATGGTCTAAATGATAAGAAAAATGTAAAAACAGAAGAGTCGCATTTAAAGCGCACAAGAGAATCAAAAGCCCATGACCAAATGGTGAAGGTTATTATGTCTTTTGAGCGTCACAGGCATAATATTTTCTTTTAAATTTGAGAAATATAAAATATCATCAATCACCGTTAGGGCGCGAACCTGAGAGGGGCGGTGAGGATGGACCACAGGATTTGAATTTCCAATGGGTCCCATGTCTAAAGTTTTCATATTTTCTGGTCTGCAAATGACCAAAGTAGCCTAAAATACATAACTTGGCTAACAAATATGACATAATTGAAGAATAATTTTCTAATTTAGAAATATCTCTGTTTTAATATCCAAAAAGAGGATTAATCTAATATAAAATATGATTTTGGAGTTAAAAACTAAAAAATGATACAAAAATTTATCAGCTATTTCTAAATATTTTAACCCACAAACCCTTATATAACTTTCTCGCGAATATTACTAGTTATTTTGTTTTTATTCAGGCTAAAAAAAGTTCGTCATAAAGTATTGGGCACGTGAGTGATGATGAGAAATCTCGGCCATTGATTTTGAGCTTATAAGGATGGGGCCCCACAACCAAGGAAAGAAAAATTAAAAAAAAAAAAAAAACGAGCTTGTCCAGTGGGTCCCGTTTAAAGTTTAAAGAATGATAGAGAGAAGTGGAGATTCGCGGCGGCCATTTACTCGCAAAAAAAACTATAACGACCACGACTCTCTACCTGCGTGACCGAGAATAACGCGTTATGGTTCATTTACAAAATAGCCTTTTCCTTTTTTTCTTTTAAGAAATACTGAAGAAGATTTATTGCTTCCATGGATAAAGTATTTATTCGGTTGAAAATATATATTTATGCAAAAAGATATATTAAAATTGTTTGTATTTTAGTGTTTGGATATAAGCCAGTTAAAAAAAAAAAAAAAAAAAAAAAAAGGGAGACAAATGGAATGATGTGTAAAGACTAAAGTAAAGAATATTGAAATACAATGTGTTAGTTATTGGTGATTGTTTAGAAACTGTAAGATGTGATTGAGGCATGCAGAACCGTCTTTCCAATTACATTTCATCATTCTATATACTAAGTAGTTAATCCATTTTTATTTCAATTAAAATTTTTCATTTTAATTTTTGGAATGAATGAGACAGACATGATCTATTATCAGTAGATACATCCATATCATGCAGTATAATTTTAAATCATTTATAACTCTCGACACTCTTTATTCTAATTGTATTAATATTATTAATAATAAAATAGTGAAAAAAGAAAAAAGAAAACGAGGTGGACCACAAGGCGGGAGGTGAGGCAAGAAGTAGACCACAAGCAATAAAAATAAATAAATAGGAGAGGGGAGGGATGTGTGTGAGTGGCGATTAGTAATTGGAAGTCGGTGAAAAATTTGAAGAGGAAATAAATGAAGTGGGGTTAGAATAATTAATAAATAATCTCTCCCAACACCACACACCATACATTTACCACCAACCAAATCTATCAAAATCAAACACCTCACTCATAAAAAATGGTCAGGGAAAAGGAAGGCCTATAAAATAATAGTTACAAACAAAGGGTAAAAATGTCAAACCGACTGAATTTGGCGCAAGCAAACTCTTCGCTAGTGCGTCATAACAAGTGGGTCCCATCCCAAAAGCAAATTTGAAGAGCATCAGCCAAAGAAAGTTATGATGTGGTTTAGATACCAGTTTTTTATGAGTCAGAGAGCTACACCAACAAATTTCTGGAAATGAAGACCCTAATTGGTTGGTGACTTGGTGCACCGTAACAATGGTAGTCTCGGTAGTACGTTGTTAGAAGTCTAGAATTTGGCGTGATGAGAGCAGCATGAGTCATCACATTAGTCATAATGAGAATGCATGCAATTGAAATGTAAATTTGGTACACAGACACCCAGTCAAAATGTGTCTGGTAAGAATTCTGACGACTTTACCAACCAGATTTGGTCTTGTTCAGGATTTTCAAAAGATTTCTCATCAACTGCACACCATCACTTGTATGATGTGGGACTAAACCAACCAGTCATTCTTCTTTTTTGTTATTCCCCTTCACCTTTTCCTTATCAAGCTTGTTTCAAGTTTTAATATTTGTGCCTTTTTCTGTATAGTAAAATGAATTATTTGACCCTGATGGATACTTAAATATAGGAATTAATATCTTAAATTTGAATTATATAAACAAGAGAACTTTGATCAATACATTTATATAAACTAATGTATAATTTGAAAGAGTAAAAAATGAAAAAGAAAACATAAGATTTCCATTAAAGGTAACATTATGCTACCTGTAATTAGTTATTAGAAGAAAATAAAACATAAAAGGTTTGTCTCTCTAGTGAGGAGTGGCGTAGGTAAAACTATTCATTTAAGGTACTGACCTAAACCCTGCTAATTATTCTGAAAAAAAAGTCCATTAGACTTAAACATGGAAAGGTGCAAGTTTGAAAAAGCAAAAGGGCAATGATAGCAACATTTTGTTTCTTTTTCCTGCAGAAGGCGGTTAGCAGTTTCTCAGGAATAGGTAAAGCTAAGTTAATTATTGGAATCCTTAAGCTAAATCTTTGACATTTGCAACAAGTTTAATACCCGTTTCACACTTGCGCATCCCATACATTACAGTAGATAAAAAAAAAAAAAAAAAAAAAAGCACTGATACGATTAACACCAATTTCTATACTAAAGTAGTATTAATTAAAATATATTAACGAGGAATGAGGAACAAGTTCCAGTAGGTCTTTCCCAAATTTATATTTTATATTTGCTTAGAATCGGGGCAGCAGGGACCAGATATTTTAGATACATCCCCCAACAAAGTAGTAGGCTATACGACTAAGAATAACAACCTATCAGCTGGAGATGAAAAAACAAAACAAAATTCAAGTGCAGAAAATAATACCATTGATGACAAGGAATACAGGAATTAAGTCAAAGATAATGCCATATAATAAATTAATAATCATAATGAATAGAACATTACAAAATTTCCTTCCATAGAAGGGAAAAACCTTTCCTGAAAACGTACCTATCCAAACCAACAATTTCCTCGGTATCAAAAGTTTCAAATGGTGAACTCTTCAATTGATAATTACTATTACCCATGTAAATATAGAGCACCCAAATCATCCAATACTAAAATAGAACTGCATTTCTGTACCTATATCTCAATCACCTACAAAATAACTAAGGGTTGCTTGCATGTTTGTATACCCCTAGCTTCCCAAATATCTAGAGTTGAAAAACTAGGGCATGTTAGCTGTACCTACAAAAAGCTATCAACAGCATTCTTAGCAGAAGAACATCGAACCCTCAACTCTCTCATGCAACCTAGGCAGCTCAGGAACAGGAATACTCCCCGCAGATGTAATACTTCTTTGTCCTGAAGAAGTTTCTGACAAATCCTCAAACTTAATAAACTGCCCCATCTGTTGTGCAGCAAGGTGAGCATACAATACAGGTGCCACTGAAAAAAAAATATGATAATGAGATGAACTCATGGTGAAATAAAGATAAGTGCAAGCCAGAAAACTTTCCTTTGTAAGAAATAGAATTCTGAAGACTCTGTGATGAACTCACCTATTGAAATGGCTGTAGTACTCCTTTGGTAACTGGATTAATAGTAAGAAAGAACGATATTGTCAATTGAGTGATTATAAATTTCAATAATTACTGAGAAGCAAGCGGAGTTTGAAAGCTTACACATATGACAAGGAGTGGATAAGATTTTGCAAGTGATCAGGAGAGAAACCAATCTCATCAAGCAAGACATGGTAGTGTGCTGGCCTTGAAGTTCCCTATCATAGGAAGTATAAGTATGGGATGTGAAACAGCATGTTATACTACATGAAAATTGATAGAAGCTTAAGTATTGGACAAATTACAAACCAAACAAAACTTTAACCTTTAAAATTTATAAATAAATAAATAAAAAAAGTATTCACTTGGACTTCAAGCACTTGCTCTAAGAAGCAAGGGATCGTCATGCACCTTAAGGTGATTATCTTTCTAAATAGTTTAACATAGAATACTGAATTCTTCTCTAAGAACTAATGTGTATTGGATACTAACATCAAATCAAAAAAGGATTCTGGATGTAAAGGTAATAAAATGATAGAATATCAGGATTTACACCATGGCAACTTATCATACAAATGAAACATTATTCAGACCAGATGGATAAATTTGAAGAGCCTTTGAAAAAAGATACCAAGGAACAAATTAAGGACATACTATCATCCCAGCATGAGCACACATGTAGAAGTCATAGTTTGTTGGATGCACAATAGTTGTATCCACAACTGTTCCTGGAGAGAGAGAGAGAGTTAAATCAACAAAACTAGCACTAGGTTAACCATCAAAAGAGAATAGCATTTGAAAGTCACAAACCAGGAGGAACATTTTCAGGTCCACTAGCTTGGAATAGCTTGGTGTGGTGATTTTTCTGTGCAACAATAACTGTGAACTTCGGGACGTCAGTCTCACCAAGATGCTGGTATGCCTGTCATAAACAAGTATGATTATCTATCCTGTATGCTAGAGCCCGCATGTCCTAATGGTCAACCATGAAATTGATACAGACAACTGAGATAAAGTACATGTGCAGACATGAGGCAATAAGCATTCAAGTTTTGACAAGTCTATGTAAGTCACCATAAAACAGTGACAAGTCACGTACCAAAAATGAAAATATGGCTACTTACCCAATAAAAGTAGTTATAATCAACAAGAGCAAAATTCAGACCCTTAAAAATTAAAATGATGAGTGTAGAAGACATAATTTGCACGATTAAAGTGAAGGAAATGCTTAAAAAATTAAAATGTTGAGAATAGCAGGCATAATTTGCACAATTGATGTGAAGGAAACATGGTTGCAGCCACCTTTATGATTTGCTCCAGCTCAATATTCAAAACTTGATTGAATTGTGATTCACTCACTCCATCCCTGAGAACAAAAGCAACATGATAAATTCCAAGAAATATAGTATTCAATAAGGGATTTAAAAGAAAATTACAAAGAAACCCAAAAGCCAGATACATTTGTGTTTAACCGCATAGAGTACATGCATGCAAAGAAACCAAAAAGAACAATTAGCAAAATCTCAAATCAAAAAACAAGGGAATTGTTTGCACCAAAGTCCCAAATACATATTTGCTTGGATAAGAAAGTAAAGTTATCCATCATACTGTAACTTGAAAGGTTCTTAAAACAAGAAAATGGAGTTTTAGTTTTAGTCCCTCCTCTCCTTTACACATCCACACTGCACCCCACATTTCAATTAGAAACTGAAAATAATATCAATTTGAACTTATACAAGTGCCAATAGCATTGTTGTGTAAAGAAGGCTATGCTTTACTACCACAAGGCCACAGAAAGCATTCAGATCTCAGCGTGAAAACATTTTATTTACATTCTCTTTATAAGTGATAGTTTTCAGCTCTTCCAAGGCTTCTATAAGGTTCTCCCAGAGAATACAAAAGGAATTCCACAGTTTTGTTGTTGAAATTGAGATCTAGCTCACAAAACCAAACATACAAGAAAAGAAAATAATAAAACAGGTGAGGTCAGATAAGGAAAGTTGGAAGCTTGCCTCTAATCAAAGCAAGATTGGCACTATGATACAGGCAAGATAATCTAAGAATCAGATATTATAATTCCGTTTTTCTTGTTTCAAAATACAAAATCTAGATGAATGTTGAACATTTTCTACTTTTTATTGTAAAGCCATAAAACTACAATTCTTCAATGCCTTTTTGATAACATGTATAAATAAGAGTAAATGATTTTTATATTTAAACTATCTTTAATTATCTCTTCCAAGATTAATTGACTGGCGTAAGAAAGATCTACCGACATAAGACAGCAATACCTGAACAAAATAATCTGTTTAGGTTTTCTTTTTTGGCTTGTTTTGTAGAAGTCCACAAGCAGTTCCCTATAAAACAAGAAAGAGTTTGACATCCTAAGAACAATAACACAAGCGATATTCTCAATACTTGAAGCTCAAATGAATGTCATCATAGATTTTATAGCATCCTATTTATCATAATATGATGAACAAGACTGTAGACTGGTCTTACTAGGAATAGATGAAACCATCAAACTACAATATTACAACCAAGTTTAGCAGTTATTCACAAAAGAGATGATAAGGGGTATGCTAGTGGTGTTAAAGACTACAAAGATGTGAGAAATCAGCAAAAAGCATGATACAATGCAGGAAGGAATCTCAATCATGCAATAGAAGAACAGTGCAGTTGAGGGAATGTGTAATACATTTAAATAAATTAAGTATTCATTACTCCAAATCTTTCTACATATTCAGCATAACATAAACTAGCACATGTCCCAAGCAAATATATAGATTTTAATACAGGATCTTATTTTAAAAGTATCTGGTACAGGTTTGTTATCAATTAATAAATAAAAAATCTTTATGACACAGTACAAAGATTGACAGCAACTCAGAAGGCTTTAGAAAGATATATCAATAAATCAGTAAAAATCTAAATCTTGACAATACATATTACCAATTATAAATAAAATTTCTAAGATAAACGAAATGGTATCTTGATATATAGTATAGAATTCCGACATCAATATTTAAACACCTAGAGATGGATTTTTGAACATATATACAAACCAGCATATACATCAGTCACTCAAGCTGCAAGCACAGATAATATTTGCTTGACTTGAATACCTGATAATACCACTATCTTTCCCATTTGCCAGAGGCTTGTATAGAGCATCAATCATCTCCACCTTAGGAGATTGAGTTCTTACCGATGCTCTATACCTTGAAATCAGTGGCCACCTTTGAGAGCCAACAACCTGAATATTACATTATTTTAAAGCATCAGCAACCTGACAATGAAAATACTTATGAAGAGACTGAACAGTTAAGATGCTGAAAAGATCATGGATGAATTACCGCAGCAATAGATGGGATATCTGATCGACCAGGAGATCCATGAGAGATATCCATACCCAAAATTAACGTAGGAGTATCTTTTATCAGGGGAATGTGTGAGGAGTGCTCTATTGCCAACAAAGAATTTATTCCTCCAAGCTACAAAAGAGGAAAAAAAATAGCATATCCGAAAGAAATTAAATATATTAAGATTCTTCAAGCATCTAGTTTCAAGATTCACCTTTGAATTGATTTTAAGTAGAACATTTGTAAGATACTGATCATTAATCCGAGAAGGAGAAATGCATTGAGTAACAATTCCAAAATCACAGAGGCATTTTTTCTTCCAAGGTCCTCGACAATGAAACAAAACAATAAGTTAGTGATAATATAAAAATGAATCAAATCTTAAAAAACAGGAAGAATCATATACCATAAATGTCAGAATTTTTCCTCTCAGGCAAGACACAGAGAATGAATTGAGGAGGTTCTGGAAGCTTTGCTGTAATTTGATCAAACATTTTATCAACTCTAACAACAGGACTGGTTCTTCTAGATTGTTGATCCTCCTCAATTAAGGTAAAAGGGCGTTCAATATGCTTCATTAATTCACAAAGTAGCATGTGAGTCAGTGAGTGAGACAGAAGGCAAGAGAATTAATTTACAAATCATGGTACAAAAATATAATCCCAAAAAATCAGAATCAACACATTATAACCTACAATGCCCTTCTTCTTCCCACAATTGATAAGCTCACGAGATATGTGACTAGTATCACAGCGGGCAGAAAAGTTGACAACAATCCAACGCTCAATTTGGATAGAGTTTAAAAACGTCTGCAAAGAATGAGAAAAAGTGGGACATGAAATTGCTAAATAAGGTAACACGACTTCTATACCATACAACTGAGGAGACAAAGAAGAAAATTTCTTGGTGGGAGGATTTGATGATTATCCCCTGTCAGGTGTTCAAGATATCAAAAATAGTACCTTGTTGTTAAAGTTCCAGCGTCCATTACGAGGGACACAGTCCTCACTGTTACCAACCTTCAGCTGTGATATAGAGAAAAATGTATTGCAGTCCATACCAGTAATCATTTCAATTGAATGGAGCAGCTCTCCTTAACCCCCTCTCTTAAAAATTTAAAAAAAAAAAAAAAAAAGAGATCATATTTACCCTTGGGGCCTCAAGGACACGACCCTCAATCTGTCTCAGTTGTTTTCCAATAGAAATACCGCATGCTCCAAGAAAAGGGTCCTCATCATAACAGTAGGTTTGCATAGCCTGCCAGATTGAGTAAGAAAAAGTTTGCATTATTCAAGAGAAAAACACATGTTTTCAAGCAATGTATAAAACTCACATCAGTTAGAGTTTTCATTCTCTCTTGAGGCTTCTGCCTTGACTTTTCAACCAAGGATGCTCGTTGCACTGATGATAGTGATTTAGTATAGCGTTGAAGTGAAACAAGAGAACAAAGCTGACACAACAGTGGGAAATAAAGAATAAAAATCTTACTTTAATATCGAACTAAAAATCAATTGTGTATCATGCACAAGAGATTTGCATACCTCCAGCGGTAAATAATTTGGCCGTTTCGGTTTCCCAACATCAAGACATGGCAGGAATGCAGAAAAAGTGAGCTCTATGCCACAGTGTTTAGCAAAATATTCATTCACAGTAATCTCCACAGTCTGTCCTTCATTTGCAGCATCATTGTTTTTCACTTTCATAAGAAAACTTAAAAAGCCGATGAAACTACAGTTAGAAGTTATTCGGAGGAAAAGAGAAAGAGATAAGAGAACTATGAAACCAGAAGTTAAAAACAGAGAGATCACTATTTTGAAACAAGCACATACAACTGCTGATTGCATGGCTTCTCACTTAGACCTATGATTTTAAATTCCATGTTGCGGTGTCTTGTCTTAATCCTCAAGTTTTTCAGCATCTTCTTGGCCTATACATCAAAAGGAAATTGAAAATTCATAGAGAAATTAATGCTGAACCTCAGTGATGAAGTTAAGAGTTTCTTACCTTTGCCCAGTCAATATTGCGAGGTTCCCGTACATTCTGATTAGCTATTAAAAAATCAATCACAGGGCCAGGTTTAAGGATCATTGTAGTAGATACATCTGCAATAAATGAAGGCAGTGACACTAACAAACAAGTAAAACAAGAAAGACACCATTACAGAAATTACGAGAACTGAAATAAAAATTATACCCATGTTAAGAGACAAGCCACCCTGAGTGGGACGGAAGCTAGAATGATACCCCCTGACACCATTAACACCTCCTCCAACATCAACAAAGTTCCTCGAATCGTCATGAAAGAATGATTGCCTCACCAAAAGACATCCCCTGTTCATTCAACAACCATGATCCAAGTAAATATAAGCATGAAAGCAAATATGGCACAAATATAACAGTTGAGACTCATATATGTGTGTGTGTGTGTGCGTGTGTATGTATTTTACACGACCATCAAATTAATTCACTTTCAACATCTAATTGGAAGTGACATGTGCCAGATATATGATCTTAGTCATTAAAGAGTTTTGATCTAATGATTTATATTTAGTGCATATATTTATAAGAAGCATACTTAATTACCTGTTAGCTGCTTGCTGCCTTAGTACAATATCAAGCACTCTCAGTGCATCCTGAGCACTATTGTCTACCTCATTTCCCTTGAGGGCAAGAGCTATAGACTTCAAAGGTATTTTAGCAGCATAGCTTATTTCAACTTTGAAAGTTTTTGACTGGAAACATTGTTTTGACCGCTTACCAGTACCAGCAGGACTGCCACTATCAGGACTGCCACTTCTACTAACACACAAGAGAAATACAAGATAAATTCTAAAAACTCTGAATCCAGAATTTGAAAGAGAATGGCAAATAGACATACCGTTTTGCGCGTGACTCTTCAAGAATCACTGTAAACTCAGACTTGTTCTGTGGAAGCGGACCCACAGTGTATAAACTTTTTTCTCCATCATATGCAAACCTTTTACCAGCAAGTTCAGAAGAGTATGTTTGGTAAAGCCGATCAAGCAGTCTTCTTCCAATATTCTTGCTCTCAGTAATTTTCCTATCCTCTGCAGAAATAGTGACCTGCAAGAGGTATGTTCACAAATTTCAGAAGGAAATACATTGCAACTCCAGAAAAAAAAATTGATCAGCTAAGACATACTGTATACTGGTAAAAGCTTGCATCTGAGGCATTGACAGAAACTTTAAAGTGATTGGTGAGCAAGGTTATACGGCGCCCACAATTACCAACCCCACACCTACTGATGATAGAACGTTTGGGAAGGTCCACCAGCTCTGGCTTCAAATTTGGAGGTACATCCGGAGGTGGAGGCAAAGGTGGGGATTGATCTGCTCCCTCAAGACCTCCTGCTTTCTCCATCTTCTAGTAAGGATATGGATGCTTAATATGGTAAAACAAAGGGCTAATTATCAACTTCAGGAAGCATAATAAAATGACACAAATAGATGAGGACAGTCATAAATCACAATAAGAGCACCAAAATAAAGTCACTGAAAAGAAAACGAAGCGGTGACAAAACAAGTGAGCTTAAAAGAACCGAGAAAAAACACTTAACTAAGATATAAGTAACAAAAAAAAAAAAAAAAAAAAAAAAAAAAAAACAATTTAATGTTAAGAGACAATCAGATAAAAAACACTGGATGCTGATAGAAGAAAAAATTATTTACTCTAAATATACATAAACGCAGAAATTTCTTAACCCGGTTGAAATCAGGCCTCAGCCAACCTCATTCGAATACTAAATTCTTTACCAGGCAGGACAAACAAATAAAAAAGGAAACGTGTTAGTTCAAAGTTCAAAATCTCAATAATAAAATTAATATCGAAAAAAGCAAACGATAATAAGCAAAAATTCCTAGCAAATTATTCAAACGAAAATAGTCTATACCAAAAAACAAAAAAACTCAGATAAACAACAATGGTGAATAAACAAACAATTATACCTATAAAATATTTACACACAAACAGGTCTACAAATGTAGACACCAGAGCATCTCCAATGCAGAAAAAGATACACCAAAAACAAACTCTAAAAACAGGAATTAAACAATATAAAAAGAAAACCGACTACAAAAAACTCAAAATTTTGAAATAAGGCAAACTTATTCAAAGCAATATGACAGTTAATCGTGCGAGAAAAGAAAAGGGAAACTGAAGAGAAAACAATCGTACCGAGAGAGACTCGTATTAGTCTATTAGAGCGATTTCTAGGGTTTTCGAGAGGAGGAAATCGGAGAAAGAGAGAGGTGAGCACAAAAGGCTCTCTGCTGAGAGAGAGATGAGTAGAAAGAAACGAGAATGAGAATGGAGGGAAAGAGTGTTGACTGTTGAGTAGAGTGTGGGTATGGATTGCTGCTGTATACTATGCTGAACAATATTGATTTGATGGACTCTCTTGATCACCACCGTTGGCTCTATCAATCACAGAAAATTAAAAGACGGTGGTGAGTTAATAGGAATAATTCATTACTTTTGTCTAAGAGGTATTTAACTAAATTAATAAATATAAAAAAATAAAAAATAATCTTACCAAACATATTTTTAAATTCAAATCTTATCTATTAATAAGAATAATAATAATAACTCAATTCAACATTCTCAAAAATATTAAAATAATAAAACAAACACATTCAGATTCTTGCAAGGAGTTATAATGTATTATTTTGAACAATAATATTATACTTACAAACATATCTTATAAAGATTTTTATAAAAAGTGAAGTTATAAAAAATCAATAGAATAATAAAATAAAAAGTCAAACTCATTTTTTTTTTTTTACTTTGTGTAACATCACTTTGTATGAAAATTTTTAAAAGATTTACTCTATTTTGAATTATTGTGTTTATTTAAAAAAATACTTTTATTATATAATTGAGATTTGATAACTAAATTTCCTTTTAAGATTAATCTTTTATTTTTAATGCCTAAACTCACCAATTCTCTCTATCTAATTATCAAATCATTAATTTATCAAATAAAATTTAAAAAATTTGCTAACCGGCTGAAAATTATCTTCAGACGAGAATTATGCAAGTAAATTGATCATGGTTAGTACACACTCTATCAGCGCTTTATTTGTACAGCGATGCATTCTATAATTTCCCCTCGTAAACGGCTTACCATCTGGCTTCTGGCGTGGTTCTATTAGTCTCTAACGCGATCGGCATTGTCCACGTAGAAGAAAATGAACGTGAAAACGCGATTATTCGCTAAGAGGTAAAGCTTGTTATTTTGTTGATTTACTTTTCGCAGACGTGATGTTCAGGTGGATATCAGTTGCTACTCAAGCGCGTGAATGCTTCTATTATGGCTCCAAAAATTAAGGATTTGAAATCACAATTTGCCTCACATACTCGAGCGAGTCCCAAGTAGGGGTATTTTAGTGATTTAAAAAATGAACAAACGGTTGCAAGCTGAGAAGACTGTTCGTCCTTTTCAAAGTCGTTGACGCTCCTCATTCTATAGACAAACATTGAGTAGTGACCTTGAAGTTTGTAGTAGATATTATAGCTGCAACGTGGGTCAGCCGATTATCGTGATTCGTGCACCTCCCCGCAGATAGCCAGATAGCCCTTCAATCTGCCACTTCTATTCACATCCTCAAGTACCCGCCGTTTTTTAAACCGGGTCGGTTCCTTTGATTTGGAACCGGAATGGGAACGGTCAGTTTTGGTTCCGGGTATCCGGATAAATATCAATTACCCTCTTATTGTTTAAAAAAATAGCAAATTAACCCTTATAAAATTTATGATACCCCTATTAGTTTTCTAAAATGACAAATACACCTTGCAATACAACTATTTCAATATCCATTTCAACCTCCAAAAATTAAAATTATATAACACTTTAAAACTTTAAATAACACAAGTACAACAACCTAATAACATATCAACCATCAAGTTTCATCCTCCCAAAATTAAAATTACATAACACATTAAATAACACAATAACATCACATAATAAGTTAATATATTATTATAATACAATTTACATTAAATAATACAATAACATTACATAACAAGTTTCAACCCCTTGAGGTTCACTGTAACATTTATTCAATTAGATTTTTTTTTTTTTTTTTTTTTGGTAATGGGTAATGTTATATGATAGTAAGATCCAGAGTAAACGACATTTTCCCACCCAAGGTTTGGCGAATCTGCAAGTTCCCACCACTAGATTCATAAATTGTAGATTCACGCCTTTAAATTAACATAAAATTGTTTAATCTAACAGTTAAAAAGGTAAAATGGTCATTTCAAATATTAAATTTTCAAAATAACCCTTCATTTCTCAAATTCACCCCATCGAAAAATTTCAAAATAACCCTTCACTTCTCAAATTCACCCCACTAGCGATTTCAGGCCATTCCGGCCTGTTTTCGGCACAATCAACCCCTCCTGACACCACCATTACAATCCCCTCAACCCCTAACCTCCCCGCCTAATTGAATCCCCCAATCGCCGGCTGTCGCTTTTAGTGTTAATCGGCGTTTCATCCAAATTTCGACAAGTCCCAGCACCGAAAATCACCCCCACGACCACCAATAGTATTGTCGGCTTCCCCCCACCAAAACCCTCAACATCGCCGGCGGCAATCGCCCCCCGATCGTCGCCGACTCTCCCTTAGATTTTCTAGTTTTGTCACCCCTTTCCAGCAAATTCCGGCACCTCACTGAGGTGCAATCGGGTGGAAAAGTTAGGGGTCTTGGTGAGGAGAATAAGGGGATGCTAATGGTGGTGTCGGAGAGGTCCAATGGTGTCGAAATCAGGCCGAATTTTTGGCTTGGCCAAGATATCCTCTGAGGGTTATTTGAGAGAAATTTGAGATGTGGGGGTTATTTTGAGAGAAAAATAACAGTGTTAATTTAAGGGTGGGAATCTGCAATTTATGAAATCGGGGGTGGGACCTTGGGTGGGAAAATGTTGTTTACTGTAAGATCTATGTGAGTATTTGAATATGAAATAATTCTCAACAATCTATAACATAATTGATGTTTAAATCTTATATGTTAATAATTATGCATTATCAGTACCAACACAACAAAGTTCTTTGATTATCATGTGTGTTAGGGCCAAAAATCATCCTTGGCCCAAATAGGAAAACGGGCCCGACAGTGAGGAAGAAGCCAAGCCCAATCCCGATGCGACCCAATCCCGATTAGGCCAATTTGGTACAAGATACAACCGGCCCAAACCATTCGGGCACAAGCCTCATAATCCCAGTTCACTTCCTGGATCCATGAGCAAATCCAGAGCCCATGGTCCCCCTCATATCACTTTCCTATTCCTGGTCAATCTCCTATTCGAGGTCACCTTCCTGTTCAAATCACTTTCCTACTCGAAGTTACTTTCCTGATCGGGATCACCTTCCTATCCGGACACTGGTAAGACAGCTCACCACTGCCCTAACTCTTATAGGGTTTGCATCAGAATAACACTAGGACTCCTACTCCCACCAGGATTGGGAGACCAAACAGTCACTATATAAGCAGAGGCAGCCCTCTCACAAGACACATTATATTACACCTTCACACCCGAAGCTCTGACTTGAGAGTTTCACATCACTGCCATAGTCATAGTCCCCGACTAGACTTCCGGTAACCTCTCTACTCCCTAGCCCTCACTATACTAGCCTCTTTCAGTCTTACTGACTTGAGCATCGGAGTGCCTATGGCAAACACCACCCCAGTGTTTCCCGTTCGCTTCACGCATTTGTTTCTCTACATGTGCAGGTACAGCAGATCGCTAGTGGCCTCAACCTCACGGGATCAGACCCCCCCTTCTGTATAGGTAGATTTTTACGTCTACAGTTTGGCGTCCACTGTGGGGCCTCTAGCAATCATTTGGCTTAACGAACCTTGTTACGTAAAGGAACTTTCCATGGCTGACAACTCCGACAACGCTAACACCGGGCTCGAGGCCAAACTAGAGACTTTGACCGCGCTCATGCAACAGAACTATGACAAGGTAGCCGCACTAGAAGCTGAGAACAATGCAATCCGGACCGAAAACGCATCCATCAGGGCAGAAAACTAGTCTCTTAAAGAGAAGGTGAGTCAATTCTATGATCTAGAGTTTCTGTCTGGCCAAGTACCTCTTAATCGGTTCCGCACCCCTGTTCCATCCATGCAACCTCTCCACACACCAAAGCACCGACCCTCGATCTTCGGTAAAAGGTCGCGTCCATTAAGCTCATCGGCGGTCGACGATTCTGTCCTAACTCATGGAGAAAAAGATATGCCGATAGAACCCCATTCAACCGACCTATCTCAGTCTCGAGATCAAGGCGCCCTAGTGACAGAGAACCCGCGCCCGCAAGACCAGTCCCTTCTTACCATCCAGCCTCACCTCCAGTCAACCGTCTCCACACAAACGCCATTCTACTCGGCTCGGCTCGGCTCACCCTCACGGGTTGAACGGCCAACCCAACCAAACTATAGCACTCGAGCCCACCCATCCCGACGGACTGACCGACTATCAAACAACCTCCCTGACTATTCTTGTAGGGCGAAACACCAGATCGGTTACCATGAGAGTCATCCAACCACAAGAAGTGACCAAAGATCCAGGCTACCAGGGTGTGCACGAAGAAATGATCCACCAAATCACACCGCGCGAGATGGTCTAACAGAATATGCCGAAGATGAATACAAAGGCCGACCAGGTCAAGCGGGATGACCTAGTGGTGTCCCCTTCTCCTATGGAACAGATACTAGCCAAGAGGTTGGCCGATGTAGAGGCAGTGATGAGGCGCATCCTAGGAATGCTGTTTTCGACCAAGAAAAGCAGGCCTCACTGCTACGTTGACTCGCCCTTTGTGGATGAGATCGCCTTAGCTGACATGCCCCAGAAGTTCACCATCCCCAGCATGAAATCCTACGACGGCACAACTGACATGGATGACCACATAGCCTCGTACAAGCAGCAGATGTTCACTGTCTCAATACCCCAAGTGCTAAGGGAAGCCTGCATGTGCAAAAGCTTTGGCTCAAGTTTATCCGGTCCAGCACTCCAGTGGTACACAAATCTCCCGAACTGTTCCATCGACTCATTCGCTCAACTCATCGACACCTTTGTGGAGCAGTTCGCCAGCAGCAAGAACTCAAGAAGCTGTCAGATGATCTATACAGAGTATACCAAATAAGGGGAGAGCCACTAAGAGAGTATGTCAGCAGATTCAACAAAGAGAAGATCTTCATCCCTTCTTGTAACCCAGAGACAACCGTAGATGCCTTTAGGAAGGGCCTTCTCCCGGATGGAGAACTGTATAAGGAACTGACGAAGCTGGGGTGTACCACGATGAAGACGTTTT